GAGAGCCTTGTCAGCCATTATCTTAATGCATGAAAAAAAAAAAAAAAAAATCACATTGACTCGAGTTCAAGAACGAACACGAATGTTGTTCTAAAGACGTCTATTTTATTTAACTAAGTGCAGAATAACTAATTTTATAAATAAATAGAAGAAAAAAGAAATGTAAGGAATAAGAAAAGTAAGTAGAGTATCATAAATGGGTGGCGAGGAAAGCGAGTAAATTGAATCGACTCCATTAGCATTATCATGATAATACTGCTGCTGGCAATGAAGTTTTAATTGGCAATGGATATGCAAAAGTGATGTAGCTAAAAGCCAGGTGAATCCAATAAATCGATATGAAATATCGAGCCTAATTTATTGCCTTAATTTGACTGAGCTTAATGTGCTCGCTTCGGTGGCAAAACAAAGCGATATAAAGGAGAACTTGGCGAAGCTTAAAGATACATGGAAGCCTGGGAAAAGCAGCGCTGGAAAATCCACTCGAGCCCCGACGACGTCGTTGCATCCAATCCATTCGCTTATTTTAAACGACCCAGCCGCCCCTTATTTTCACCTCAAGCCCTCTTCATAATAAGATTGTTTATTATTTCTAACCAAAGAGCGTGTACGCAGAGACGGAATTCTGCTCGCTTAGAACGAGGTGATAGAATTGAAATTATAATTAAATGATTTTGTCCCGCTGAATGCAATGACAGCGTAGTAGATCGTAGCGTGCGAGAAACAGTCAAGTCGTTGAAAAAAAGCCTCGAAAAGCTCGTGGTATCGTCGATCGATTACCATTAATGACGAAAATTAAATGTGACAATGGCAACGGCCCAATTAATTATTCGCGTTTTATCGCAATTTTCGGTTGAGGCAAAGGGGTCGCTTTTGTAATGGATCGATGCTAGAGTCGACGGTCGCGAAATAGAGACGACCTTGAAGCATTTTGTTGTCACTGACTGAATCACGGAGAATAATCAACCTCGTTCGTCGATTAAAGAGGCAAATAATTAGTTCGAGGTACGTGCACGATTGTACGAAAATCATTTTCGAGGAAACAATGTCGCCATCTAAAAGCTCGACAGTCTAACTTCTTAAGCTTCTAGTTTTGATTAATGCGAGTTCAATAATGTTTAGGTAAGACGTAATTTTGCCACGATAGCAAGTGTGATGCTTAAATTGAATTATAAAGGAAGATTTATTTAACCGTCCATTACATTAATAAGCGCGACAACGCCATTAGAAAACAACATCACTCGTATTATTATAATAATTAAAAGAAGAAAAAAGATAAGAGAAAAACAAGGATAGCTTTGATAGTTTATTTTTCACTCCAATGAGTAATTATGCTCGTTTGACTGTAATTAATTAATCGTAAATTTCTATCTCGACAGAGAAATTTTTCTTTATCTCATAAAAATTTTTATCGACATTTAACAGTAAACGATGAATTACTTTTTTTTTCTATTTTTGTAAATTTCAAATTTATTTTTTATTCCTAAGATTTAGCCTGAGAAAGTACTTCCGGCGGAGAAATGAAAATAAAATATATATATCATAATTTTATCAAAGCTTCTTCTATCTCTTAGTAAGTATTATTAATATTCGAGAGTGTCGCGTTCACGTACGGAGAGCTCAACGAATTTCTAAGGCTGAGACATTGTAGAATTGGCCGAATACGTAGTATCGGTTTACCGTATGATCTTTCTGTAAATGTCCTTTTACAGTATGTAACACACCTCTCAGTTTCTCGTACTCCAACCAACTCAGGCACGTTCTACCGCAATCTGAACTAAATGACACTCGTGGCTAGAGGTTTTAGCCACAAGAAGATCAATTTTTCCCGTTGGATAAAAGATTTGATAAATGGGGGCGATCGAGAGACTTATGATGGGTCCATAAATACAAAAAATTAGCGCTCTGATGCAAACATATTCTTTTAGATGAATTGACATTGAAAGAAAAAGAGTAGTTACGAACAATATTTATAGATTATTACAATTATAATTAGAGAATATAAAGAAGAAGGTGGAAAGGTCATGAATATAGGACAATAGAAATGATAATTTCATGGCGTATAAACGATATAATCATATCTAAATAAAATATTATCATAGTTGTAAGAAAGAATAAATAAATAAATAAATAAATTTCTTAATATTAGAATTCAATTGAAAAGCTTTTCACGAGCAGTCTGTTTTTCTTCTTTCAATTCATTGAAGTATTTGTTTAAAAACTTGCGACAATCTATACGAATAAGTAGGAATAAATATAGAAAGACAATTTTTTTTTTTTTTTCGTTAAGTGTAACAATTACTTTATTATTATGTTAGACGACAAAAAAGAAATTTACAATATAATTGTAGCTGCCTGCAACTTTCATCTACACTAGATTATTTATATATTAGTTAGTAAGATTATCAATTACTTGATGACTTATAACAATGCATATTTGATAATAATTCAAAGACAATATCATTATAAGTAATGTTATTCTTGTAGAAGAACACTTATTGGATTTATTAAATTATATACTTCATAATAAGCTAAAAACTTTAATCGAGAGATCTGCGGTTAATTGCATTTTATATTAATTATTACATTTGTATATTTTTAAGATCATGGAATTAGAAAACAGTAGAATATAGTAGGCAAACATTGTAGTTGGTTGTATAGTAGTATTAAACATGGTAGTATTGTAATACAAATAATACATAAAAATTCACGATAATACATTAGATTGAAACTATAAATGGGAAATTAATGAAATATTTTCCTTTTCAATCATTTTTCATTGTTTCATTGAGCTCAAAAATACCCTTTCTAAACCACTTTTTTTCTATATTTTATCAATTTTATTTTATAAATGCATATTTTCGTGTCTAGTAATTATCAAAGCCGAAAGATGAAGCGAAGATAATTAATTTGGAACATTTAAAAGCATCACATCGAAATTTATCGTTAATTAAGTATTTGAAAGTGTAACAAATTTTAAACTGTATGGAAATGAAAAATGGGCTAATTATTTTCCTAATTTTGCACGATCGAAGATTATGAATATTCTTTAAATATTGTATTTTCATTATTGACAATATGTATTTGTATATATACATATATATATATATATATATATATATATATATAGCATTAAAGGTAATGTATTTAATTAAAAATAAACATTATTATAATGTGATTATTTTCTTTTTTTCTTTTTCTTTTTTTTTTTATACAAAATATTCCTTTAAAAATCTTTAAAAATTATACAATTAATTCATTAAGAAATAGAAATGAAGCTTTTTCAAACACTACCATTTAAACGAACATTTAAATTATTAGATTTTTACTTTATTTATTAATTACATTCACTTTATTTATTATATAATAGTGCGAATTTTAGTATTTTTCTGTGTCAATCGACCTCCCCCCCCCCTTTTTTTTTTTTTAAATTTCCTACTTAAAGTTTAACAGCTCTTAAATCAACTCTGTATAAACATATTTTAAAACTCTTTTCTACGTTTCTATAATACAATATTAATTAGCATTATAAATAGAAATTTCAATTTTCAAATGACAAATATAACAAAGGAACCAAGCATGTAAAAATGCGCCCGCGCGCATACACACACCCACACACATATCTCTTTCTCTCTCTCTCTCTCTCTCTCTCTCCCTGTATATATATATATATATATATATATATATATCTTTTTTTTTTTAAGTAAAATCGATTGTTTTTTTTACAATTCAAGTTAAATAAATAGCACAGACAAGCACGCACGGATATAAAACAATCAAGTTATAAGTTTGAAATCAACAAAGATTATTGAATTAATAAGAAAAACCTTTCATTCATAACGTTCAATGAATGAACCATAAAAATGATAAGCGAATGAGCTGTTTATTCGCAGAATATTACACATTCGAACAAAATAAAGACAACGATTAAAATCCATTATTCGAAAATGTCAATCTAACCAATGTATAAAGATGATAAATATTGAATTTAGCTTTGATACTGCAAAATATCTATCTAAAAATAGCTATGGTGGGATAAAAAGAAAAAAGGCTAATCTTTGAAATAAATTTTGTGCTACTGTTATTCTGCCGCACGTTGTCGGACAGTTTGAAAACAAAAAGGAAAAACAAATTCAAAATTTTAAATTAGTGGAATGGTACATAGATTTAAATAAATAACGTTTCATATCCTCTGTATAACTAATAAATGTTTCCATAATTTGAGATTACACGAAATGTCTCTTGAGTTGGGTCGGATTAAGAATTTGATTAATATCTTATAATTAATTATCAACCTTACACGGAGATCGTATTATTTCAATGTTAAGCTTAAAGCTGAAACGGCTCGTAATAAAAGGGACAATTTTCGAATTATTATTATCTTGAAAATACTAAGTGCAGAACGAAATATTTACAATACTGTGCCCATGCATTTTCCCCATTGTTAGTGCTATCGACTAAAACTTTATTATACGCCACAATAAATTCAAGCACACAGTGCAGTAAATATCTCGCCAATACCGGCTTATTAAGACTTTAAAGTCACTTTATAATCGAGTGTTATTACATCGCGGAGCTCTAATCTTATCGCTTGCATTGCGAAGAACAGCGGAAAAGCCTGGCTCTTTATTACGTAACAAGCATTTAACAAGAATCTGACGAGAATGAGCGAACAATATAAGCTATCTCGACATTTCCAAGAGAATACCGTGCATTTTCTTTCACGGCCGTATTGATGAGAATGATAACGCTCTACGATCGACATAATATATATATATAACGGCAATTGGCGTGGATAATCTCCTCTGGCACTGCTGCACCAAGGGATCATCTCCACGTATATGTAGGCGCGAGTGCTAAAACGAAGAAAACCACCTTACTGTTTCATAAAGCTTTGAGATTACAGTGCCCGTGCTTGCAAAAACAACGAGTAAAGGCCCGGCCTCTCCTATCCTATCCTCCCCTCCTCGCCCCACCCCATCGCCAATACACGTCCCACCGAGCCCTCGACAGAAAGAAACATTGCACTTAGGAACTGCAGTCGTGCATCTGCTTGCGCCTGGCCTGGACGACGCCGTAAACGACGGCGGCGAGGCTCCGACAGCCGCTCCGGTCTCTGGAGGTGCCCTCGGTGTGTAGTGTCCCCTTGCCAAGTACGAAGTATGTCTCCATCGTGCCCTTACCCTTCACCTCGATCAGACCGCGCTTCTGCGTCTTGTAGCCCCTCGACTCCAGGAACTGCAACATCGAGAAATAATTGAATTTCTCAAGGACGCTTTATTAATCGACGGCAGTCGAGGCTCGCCTCGTCTACCCGGGTGTCTGCATTACGAGGCTAACGGAAGCTTTAAGAGAGCCTCGTTTTACTAGATGAATGACGCTAATGCCAATGCACATAAATCTTAGTCGACAAATGCTTTGCGCATCGCTGAATGCTTTTGGATAGATTACGGCGATAAGCCTTGATGCTCGACTTTCGAAGTTAAAGACTTCGATCGTTACTTGGATTTGGTATTTTTACACGAGAGCAATGAAGAAATAATGGGCCCTTTCTGAGCATCGCAGCGACTCTTTTTTGTTTCTTTCTTTCTTTTTTTTTTTTATTTTTTTATTTTTTAGCTTAGTGCGCGACGGGGCGGTGGGAGTTAAATAATTATTGTGGATGAACGTTTAAGGATTGCGATTATTTTAGCTGTCGCAATCATCCCTTGGAGAGAGGATGATCGATTCGTTGTCTAGGAGTGCCAGATACCGATATCTTTTAATTTGAAAATAGTCGAAAATGTTAATAATTAAGGCGTCAAATTTTCTACTTGGGTAAATTATGTAAGAATTTTTTACTCAATGCTCAATGGCTTTTACAGACATTTTATTCTGATTTTTTGTTGAATTTTATGGAACAATGTTAACGTTCGCCTATGCAACATAGAAAATTCTCGGCACTTTATCAAAATGTCTGAAATAAATTATACGTTATGAATTGTAAAATTTACCGCGAAGCTTCCCATCATAATAAATAAATAAATTAATTAATTTGTGCGGGAATATTCTTATGTGTGTGTGTGTGTGTGTGTGTGTGTGTGTGTGCGCGCGCGCGCGCATAAATATTCAAACTCGCGTCAATTTATTAACAATGATTTTGTAATAAAGTAGCTGAAGAAATTGAACGATGTTGAAAAGTTTTTTCAGACTTTAATACTCGTCGATCGGACGAAAAGTCCAAAGGAAAGATTTTGAAAATATTGACAAGTAAATGAAGCATATCCATCAAAAGTTTTAAAATTCTATAACGAAAAGAGAAAATTATTTACGGCCTTTTATGCGATTAATTTACCTACGAATTAAATAATAAAGTTTATATATCCTGAAGCTTCCATTATGCAATTGCATAGATAATAATATCTTTTATTCGTTTAAATGACCGATTAAGTCGTTATTTTATTTATTTATTTTTTTTTTTCGATAATACTTTAAGCCGAACGAACCGGTGGTACAATAAACATTATGAACATTTTATATTTTTATTAATGTTTTTGTGCTGTGAAAATTTATGAGGTATGATGACTTTTTTTGTTTACTCTCGTGATCAATGCTTTACATAATAACTGAAAATTTCGTTATTTCACATGATATGTAGACTTCAATTTTTTTTAGTCCAATCAATGTCGAGATTAAACGATGAATTCTTAATAAATATTATCTAAATATTTAAATAGAAATATTTATAAGCTTAATATCCGAGGAATTTTTTCTATATTTTGTAGAATTGAATTATTAATTTAATAATTCGTTCAAATAATGCTTCTAATAATCACAGTTTTTTATATTTGAAAAATTAAATATATACAAAAGGATATTGATTAAAATTATGAAAAGAAAATTTGAAAAATAGGCCATTGTCTCGAGGGATAATTAAAAATTTTTTTGGCTTTTCGGATGTGGGCAAAATTAATGGTTTTGTAATTTTTAACGGTAATGTATTAAATAATATTTAAGATGAATTTTTAAGAGCAACAAGACATACAAATTTAGTATCGATTAAATAGATATTTTGGGCTCAATAATTGAGATCGTAAAATCAAAGAATTTCTTAAATTGATATTATTTCTATTTCATATCGCAATTTTCGTTGCGTATTATAAAACTAAAAGATTATTTTTAGGGAAAGTATTGTTAAAAATTCCTATAAAAACTACATGAATTTGTTAATTCGCTATTACGTATGTTAAAATAAGAATTTTTGTTATTCAAGGCAATTTATAATATACTTGACGGGGAAGGAATAAAGCTAATATTTTATATCAAACCTGTAAAATCCGTTGAGACGTACTATTATTATTGTATTTAGTATCGAAATAATTTAAATTTAATTTTAAATAAAAATTTTAATTGAAATTTCATAGATTCTTTAAAGTACAGATGTTTTTAATACATAGCCATAGAGACTTTTTCCATCCTATTCATTAACGCTTTTTTTTTTCTTTTCATGTATATACAATCTAAAGCTTCTATGACCCATTTTTTTTTTTTTTTTTTTTTTTTTTTTTTTTTTTTTTAACGAATCACATTATATTTCTAATCGAATATTAATTGTATAATACAGTTTTTCAGCCTCATCGTTGATGCGCATAAAGAAATTATGGAATGAGAGTGTATAATGTTTCGTGTTCCAGTTGCAAATGAATAGAACTCGAATAGGAAATAAGTTTGACGTAGAATTTACAGAAACAGCCGGTGGCTTACGACGCAAATGTCATATTCATGCAACAATGATAATTTTTATATCCCATCTTAAAATAAATTAGAATGAAAATGTTATGAGAAACATCATTTCTCGTATTCGTGTATAATATTTCTAAAAATTCTATAATGCCTGAATATGCTTAATGGATAAAGAGTGTACGCTATGTGGTTTATGGTAAAAGTGGTTTACTTTGACAATAAAACCAAACCAAACGAGCTCAACCTTAAATAATTATCCTAATTCGCGTTCTCGATGTCGATAAAAAGTAAAAAAGATGAAAAAAAAAAAAAAAAAAAAAAAAGGCAATAAAAAAACCTGCATGAATGTGCCATAATATTTTATCTAACGACATTATATTACAATTGCCTAATATATAATTCTATAATAGGTTTATTAAATTCAATTCGGCATTCGATGTTAAATATAAACAATGCAGTTTCAATTAATCATAGAGCCATTGCAATGTCCGGAAATTATTTCGAATAAAAAATCCATGCCCATAAAGATCGATAAATTTTCATTATACGAGTTATTTTGTCAGTTGCATTACCGGTAATTTCTCCCTATTTTATAATTATTAATCGTGCATGTGACATACCTTGGCGATTTCCGAAGGAACCTGAATCTTTCCCATTACGCCGGTAGAATCCATGCGTGACGCCTCATTTACCGTGTTGCCCCAGATATCGAAGACCGGCTTCCTGGCGCCAATCACACCACCCACGAGAGGCCCGCAGCTAATGCCTACCCTCAGGTCAAAATTATTAAACGAATGGACATTGACATCCTCGAGGCGCTGCCTCATCGCGACTGCGTAATCCACGAGGCGACATACGTGCTCCATGTCGTCAGCATTTTTTATCTACAATCGTTACAATGTCCATTATTTCTTTTTTTCTTCTTCTTCATTTTTCTTTTCGTTTTTTTTTTTGTTTTTGTTATTGTTTTTGTTACTTCGATATTCACAACGGATGTATGAGTAAGGATGAATATTAAAAAAAGAAAACTGTTTAAGCATACTTATATTATGCTTACTTTGTGTGAGGGATTTAAGCCAGAAGCAGCCATATAAGTTGCACCGACCGTTTTGATTTTTTCAATACAATGAAATCGTCTTTCATCCAATAATTCATCGAAATCCGCTATAATAATTCAAGACTTATTGTTATTGTTATGTTGAGAGTTTATAACGCATAAGTATATAAATTATGATAATTACGCACCGATAATTTCGTTTAAAAGACGAATGCACTCCATCCCTTTATTCACGTCCTCGGAGTAAAATTCCGTGAAATTTGGTACACTAGCGAACATAACTCCCACTTTATCCCTCGACTGCGAGTACAATTCCTAGATAATTATAATTTTATAAAATAATTAGCATCTTACTATAAAGATGTATAATAAGCGTAATAATTACGATATAATAGTAGATTACATGCCGAATAGAAACTTAATAAAAATTGTAAAATAACATTTGGAAGTGTGTATATTTTTCTCTCTCTCTCTCTCTCTCTCTATCTCTCTCTCTCTCTCTCTCTCTCTCTCTCTTTTCTTCTTTCCTTTAGATAAAAATTGGACGAGGATTGTAAAAAAATGTATTAAAAGAGAGAGAGAGAGAGAGAGAGAGAGAGAGAGAGAGAGAGAGAGAGAGAGAGAGAGAGAGAGAGAGTGAGAGAAAAGAACGAGTCATTATTATTTTACGGAAAATGTAGCGGTTAATTATACAAATACGGCACTAACGATCAATGCTTATGTATTATTTTAACATATCAAAGCGTCAATAAATAATGAAAATCTAAAATTACTTCGGACGGTTTATCTTGAGTCAGAAAATGATGCGCCACGTGATCTGGGAGAATATTTTTCAGTAATTGCATATTATTATGCCTGGACTCGATCATATCTGAAAGCTCGCGTTCAGCTTGTTGCTTCCATAGAAAATCTAATCTTGATGTGACTTCGACAAGTCGACCATGATACGTCACCATCACGAGGAAAATCACCAAGAAAATTAACATTTGGGCCGAGAGTGGTATTGACATTCTAAAAAATAATTATTTATTTATATATATATATATATATGTATATCGTGTGATTAAGTAAAGTTAATTAAATCCTTTGCAAGGTAGGAAATAAGCTTTTTTTTTTATATAATTTTGTATATTAATTCTGAATAGACGTACAATTACGTAGATTATTATCAAGTTATTTTATTATGTTTTTTTTTTTAATTAAATAGCCGAAGTGACGTATTAGAAAATTCTTATCACATTAATAATGTTAATTGCTCGCGTATCGTTACAATCATTTTGACGATTACTTAGTAATTAGTCGGAAAAAAAAAGAAAAAGAAAAAGTAATCAAATACTATATAATCTTTCTTGTGGCTCTCAAATAAAATACAAACATTTTTTTTAATGACAAATTCAATCGTTATAAAAATTATATAATGCTGCGAGGTAAGATGGATTACTTGATAATAATCCATAATAAAAGTTAATCTACGAAAAAGAAAAAAAAAGAAAAAATAAAAACAGAAGAAGAAGAAGAAAAGATACAATAAGGAACATTTTAATTAAAACTATGTAGCATGCAATCTTCAGAATTTTTTTTATTTTTTAATTTTTTATTTTTTGTAACAAGAAGTTCGTAAAGTTCTCTTGCGGAGCAGAGCATTTTACCCTCGTACTTGAGAACAAGCTGCTCGGAAGAAGTAAATCAATGTTTATAATTATTCAACTTCGAGCCCCATTAGACCCCAGAGCATAAGAAGAATTCCGCGACAAAGACGGAGCAAAGAGAAGTCCGGAGGAAGAATTTTCACCAAATGAAATTTTTAAGCCTGATTTACTAACGCATCTTGGTCCTCTTCGATCCAATTGGAGAATCGATCCTTCGACACGACGAGGATGAGGACCGCATAGACCAGGACTATTATCGTTGCCAAGGCCGTTTTTACTAAATAGTAAAGCTTCAGTGCCGAGGCAAGTGCTATTAGACAGAGGATCCAGGTGAATACGATGTACTCCGGTCGGAGACATTGCACTTCTTCCAAGCTCTTCCTCTCCAAATGCGGACTCGTCGTAGTGACGTTCCTCTCGTCTTCCTCCGGCCCTTCCGCAGATAGAATCTTCCGCGAGGCTATCGAGTTTGGTGTCTCCGAATGACGCTGATGCCGCTTCCGAGGATATTTTCGATGGTGCCGAATACGCGGCTCTTCGCCATATTGATTCTCAAGACCGTAAATTCTGCAAAGATGTTGCTTCGTTCGAATTATTCGAATTATTCGTTTATTCATGTGTGTCTGTGTGTGTGTGTGTGTGTGTGTGTGTGTGTTTGTGTGTGTGTGTGTGTTTTCTTTTTTGTTTGTTTTTGTTTTTTGTTTTTTGTTTTTTTTTCTTTGTTTTTTTTTTATTTTTTATTTTTTATTACATACCTACTAATTAATACCACTCAGCAATGGCAGTATCAACAATTAAATAACAATTTATAGTTAGGTACTTTCGATTTTATGAAGAAAATCGAACTTTCTAACTTATAGGGGGATGCACGTAATAATAAAAGTAATTATAAATATTTGATTTTAACTCAATATTTTAAAGATAATACGCTGTTACCTGTCACTAAATTTATTTTCTTGCCATACTTTTCGAAAGCTCTTCGATTTTTAACGGCACCATTATTAATAACATTAATAGGAATTTTTTAAATAAATACAGCTACACAATTAATTCATATTCAATTAAAAGAAAATGGTTTTATAATTTTTTATTTTTACATATTTTGATACGATCATACGATATTTTTGGCTTAAAATCCTCGTTTCAAAACCACTTCAATACTATTAGATGTTTTAAACATTTTACGCTGACCACATATATATATATATATATACATATATATATATATATATATATATATATATATATATATAACGTTCATTAGTACCAAACACAAAATGCAATTTATTTGTTAACAAACTACGGTTGCATTCACTTTTACGTATTAATTAATATTGCTACTTGATAACGTTTTGCTAATTAACATTATGGTATTTTAATTCATCAATTTATCAGACAATAATTATTTACTATAAATTTTAAAAAATAATTATTCCGCTCCAAGGATTTATATATGATAATAATAATGTTTCGGAATTGTATTTTAAAATCTGCAATGCATTTAAAGGACTTTCTTAATTATTGGCGATTTAAACTCGCTCCTTTATAGAATTTATATTGTAATTAAAAACTCTATTTTCTTAAAGTATTTAATATCGTTCAACACGTAAATATTGATATATAAAATAATTTGTAACATTTTGTTTAGACGGCTTTAATTCGTCTGAAATTTTCTAGATAATACATTCAGAATGTGAATAATTATTTGCAATTTGCAAACATTTAACGAAAACTCATTGCCTATCGTAATGACCTCGGTATTTTGCAATCAAACTATTAAATCACTAAGTTTCTTTTCAATTTGAAATTATTACAAAACAAAAATTAAAAGCCAATAAAAGAAAAAAATGACGTAAAATTACAAACTGAGTGGTTAGTAAAATTTGTAATTTTTAAATAAAAATTTCTCTCTCCTACCTTTGATTCTTTTTTTTTTTTTTTTATTTGTTTTTTTTTTTGGTTTTGTTAGTAAAATAAAAATTAATTTTATATCAAACTAAACGATCCTATCTATTTTAACGCTTCACACGCGATGTTCACCGGAGAACGAATTTTCATTTAAAAAGCCTCATTGTTGTTGATAATAATGGTATTTAATATTCCCTAATAATACAGTGTAGCGGAAATTGTTCTTAAAATAAATTTAAATTACCAACAAATTTATATTTTGAAAATTCTGTTATCGTTATCGATATATATATATATATATATATATGAAATTAATTGATCACTATATCATTTCGATAAATATTACGTTAGAAAATGAAATAATTGACCACATATTCCTAAAAATTCTCAAATAATAATATGTATAATAATAATAATAGAAATTAATAAACCGAAATATTCTAATTATCTCACTTTATTTTTTTTAATCACCTGCACCTCCCTGCGAGCTTCGACCTTATCTAACGTGTTCATCACGGAAATTTAATCCGACCCCTGAAACCCCTAACGTTCATCGTAAAAGTACGAATATTCAAAAATCTGATTTATCTTCTAATTGACATTGATCTCGCGCTCTCAATCCAATAAATTGTACACAATCAACAAAATAAAACACCTAAAAAATTCTCTGCGTGTCCTCGTCCTCTCCGGCGACTCGGACATTTTAGCGGTATCGTTCTGTTTGTTCCCCGCTAATTTCTCATCGTCATTGGTCACGTCATCGCGCAGCGCCGCCTCAAGGAAACTCAAGATGAGCTTGTCGAGACCTGCTCTATTAGGATTCTGACTTCTCGACGATGGCAAAGTCAAGGCTGGCTGATTAGCTGCCTTCTCAAAAGTCAGTAGATCAGCTTTTATCTATGCAAACAAACAATAAGATGAACCGGTTTCCATTATTTTGCTTTTATAAAAAATATCAAACATGTGCGGTGTTTTATTTATGTTTTGGTAGGCTCACGGCTAATGGTATAATGTTATTGCAGGGTTTCATATCTAATATCAAGGTTGCTTGTGAAAATTGAGACAAATTATGCCGAAGTAGTATATTATAATGTACATGTCTTATTCGTAAAGGCTTCTACTTTAATTTAAAAAAAAAGAAGATAAAAAAATAAAAAAAAAAAAAAATAAATAAATAAATAAATAACGAAATCTAAGAAAATTATGTTTTTATAATAAATGAAAGTTAGGTGATTATAAACTTTGGATATCTTTGATATTAAAGCTATTGAAATATCACATTTGCAACACAAATGATATTCGAGCTTAATGTTGAACTTAATGTTGAAATATACATAGATGATAAAATAATTTTTAAGTTGCTTATATATATATATGTGTGTGTGTGTGTGTGTGTGTGTATGTGTGTGTGTGTGTATGTGTGTGTGTGTGTATAACTTATAATTAACAAGGAAATTATAATCATATAATTGTGAGCGTATAAAGAAAAAAAAATAGTTCGCTGCGTAACAAATAGTTTATTAGTAAGAAATTGTATGTGTCTATTTATTATTTTTCTTATTATTTCAAACATTTCTTTTTATTTTCATCTTGTAAAAATCTGTTGACGATCTATTAAATTAAGACTTCGTGCACTCGCGTTTTCTTTGCCCTAAATTAATATTTAAACTCAATGAATAAATAGATAAATAAATAAATAAACACACACACACACACACACACACACACACACAGTATGTTAAAAAAAAATTTTTATTTCTAATATATATGCATTTTCATATCAGCAGTCATTATCGAAATTGCAGTCTTACCACTGGACAAGCAATAGCCCCAATTACAGATGTTAACGCCATGAGGCTGATTACTCCGCAGATAAAAAGTGTCCGATGCTGTTTATTGTGTACGAGTATTGAGGATGAATGTTGTAGAAATGTTGGTAAACTCTTGAATTCGTCGGCCATTACGAGGATTGACGAAGCGATCAATAATAATGTCGTTAATGCTAGCGATACTAGTAGTACAATGCAACTGCAAAAATTCATCAATGATCAATGCAATGTCGTACGTTCGATCATTGTCAATGAATGGTCGGCTAATAAAATAATATAGTCTAAGAATACAAAATTGAGCTTGCAATAATTAATAGTTAATTGATTGAAAAGTTTCTTGGTCGTTAAGATTATTCTGAATGTCGCGGCTATGTTAAACGTATAGGCATTTGGATAAAATTATTCTCAATCATTTTTCAAATTCAAATGCATAAACGAACGAGCACAATACTTTATGTCACTTTCCTCGTTAAGGATATATTTTCTTTATAATTTAATGATCGAAATTCAATAATCGTCATCTCGTCACTTCGCCGCCACTGAGGAAAGCATAGTAAAACCAATGGGAATCGCAAATAAAATTCAAATTGAACATTCGATCGTGTATCTGCCTATATATTTCCATAAAATCGAGAAAGAACATCCTGAACATTATAAGTTATATTGTTGTTGTTTTGTTTTGTTTTGTTTTGCTTTCTTTTTTCAATAATAATTCTTTAATTTTTTTTTCACCTTCGAAGATTGGCTAATCTATTTATATAATTAATGCTTTGATTAATGTTGATTAATAACGATTAGTAGATTTCATTACTTACTCGGGTAAAATAATTGCCTGACAGACTGCGATGAAAAGCCAAATGACAAAACAGCAAATCATGTTCGATTTGAACATGTCTTCGCGAAGTTGCCGAAACTAAAAAAAAAAAAGAAAAAAATGAAGACATTAAATTTAAAGCTTTTGTTGTATATATGTGAGAGACTTTGTTTCTGACAAATTTTTCTAAACGAACTTAAATGCATGATTAATAAATAATGTATTGATATCGTCCTTAACGATATCTATCGTTTAAAAATTAAAAATTGAAAAAACAAAAACCAAAAAAACAAAATTGTATAATATTTGTATCCACGCGCCCGCATAATTATAATTTATTATATTTTATATCTTTAATTTATAGATGTACTTTTTCTGCAATTGCTCTTTATGACAATCGAGCTTACAAAGCAACAATGCAACAATTATTCTTGGAAACAATATAAAAAATAATACTTAGTTTGGTATAATTTTTGTATTTTTGCATGAGATTTAAGTTTACTGGACATCAATTGCATTGCCTACAATCGATGACAAAGTAGAAATAAATATTGCATAGCAATAAGCATAAACAATAATGACAAGGCCGGCAAGCGTCAATTGACAATAAAAAAGCCATAATTATCGAGTCGAATGAAGCGAATGAAGCGAATGAAGCGAATGAAGCGAATGAAGCGAATGAAAGAATCGTGTCTAAATACCTTAGACTCGAGGCTCTCGTCGTTATAACGCAAAGTCCAAGGATTAATATTCGCGAGCCTCATGCGTTTGTTACTCGCAGACTCGATGCCTCCCAACCCCTTGCTTGACTTCTCATTTCCTGATCCACGTGTCACTTGCTCGCTCTTGGTCGAAACCGCGTCATCCTCGAGGTAATCGGACTCTAAATTCGTCACCGAAGTCGCACTGTTTAACTAAAAGCAAACGTACTCTTACTTTTTGCATTCGCAACATACTCGGAATAAGCTCTATCGCGCAGTTTTGCTTACACTCCAGTCATTTAAAATTAAATCTAGTCTACTCTAATAGCAAAATAATATCGTCACGTAGACTTAATTTCTAAGTTATTATTATTTGAATTATTTTTTTGTTTTCTATTAAAGAGAGAGGGAGAGAGAGTGAGAGTGAGAATGGATGAAAGCATTTTTCAGGAATTACTGATGAAGAAGCATCTTAAAATATCGCACTTTTGCTATTTTCTGCAGTTCTCTATCAAGATAGAAATAAAATCTTGAAACTTTACATTAACGGCCGTTTCTCGACTTATACATGAAAATAAAATTTATAATCTGTCTCGTTACGGTGAATTTGCACAACAATAAGTTTGGCTTATTGCCCAGTTGAAACGCCTCGATTTATCCGCTACATTAAGATGGCTTTCACCCTTGCAAAACATCGGCCAACCGTACATACTATTAATATTTATACGGCTTTTCACTTTCTCAACTTTTTACAAAGTTTCACGCCTCTTTTCAAGTTTTAATTCAATGCACGAAAATTCAGTTTACCCAAGACAAAAATAATTCGTTTTACAGCTGATATGGTTGATCTTGTTGATATCCTCCATTCGTTTCTTTAAATATCAATTCATCGACAAAATCAAATACATGGAAATAAATGGCATCGATTTATACACATTTTACATAATCTTTAAAGTTATTGACATTTGCAAATCTAAGCCTCATGCGAACAATCATCAACACGACGATTTCGAATTAAAGATACAAAAACACCGTATCAGCATTTCGTCTAACTACCATTACTTTTCGACGTTTTATGGTCTTAACAAACTTTTAAAGAGTTTAATGAAAGAATGAAGGATTTTGTATCAAAGTAATTTTTAAAATATTATATCGTAAAATAAATATATTTGGAAAAAGAGATATATTAATATCGAAATGCACGCGCGCATATTCATAATTGCTATACAGAAACTCATACCTCTACGCAATTACGGAATTCTTACGTAATTTATATATATATATATATATATATATATACAAAGAGAAAGAGAGTGTCAGAAAGAGAGAGAGAGAGAGAGAGAGAGAGAGAGAGAGAGAGAGAGACAGACAGACAGACAGACAGACAGACAGACAGATAGACAGATAGGGTGCGAGCAAGAGGGTGGGGAGAACATGATCAATAGATAGATAAATATGTGTAGTAAACTGCATGTATACGCATATCGTGCATAAAAAAAATTATATATTAAACAAATCATTCGAAGGTATTCAACATTGATATTTAGCAAAATTAATAAATGTGCTTGCAGCGCATGATTTATTTATTAATTGGAATGTAGCAAATAATGATAATTGAAAAAGTAAATCTTTTATATAATCAAATACGTGTTTGGGTGTTAAGTCACGGCATACAAATAAATTAGGTAATTGAAAGATTAAAAAAAAAAACATAAATAAATCATTGATTTTATAAATAAATGCAAGGAAAAAAATGAAAAACATAAAATAGTACGAATAATTAGCATTCAATACAATATTCTTTTATTAAATTATGTTTCATGACATTATAATACGCGTGTATTGCGCAATATATTTTATGATATTATAAATCTTTTCAATTCTCAAAATAACTGGTTAATGTTCACTCGTGAAAAGTGAAAATTGACTATATAATTTGCTATAATTAAAATCATATAATGGCAAGTTTAATTAAAACTAATAAAGTATATTTCTTAATTCCATACAATTATAATTAAACCAAACAATCATATTGGAAGAAAGATATTTTTAGGAAAAATAATTAAACCATACTTTTGCACGTAGAGGATTATGATTTTCAAGCATCGATACAATCATAAATAGTAATATTATTATAGACTTTTGCAAGTCTAATTACATTAATCACCAATTCTACTTTTCCTCTTGATCATATCAAATAACGCACATTCAAAGATTAATAGTTTTTGTAAGAGTGCAAGCTCGTTTTGTTGTTACTCATCTTTAACTTTGATTATTTATTCTTCTTTTAATTATTATTATTATTGTTGTTGCTGCTGCTGCTGTTGTTGTTATTATCATTATTATCATTATCATTATTATTATTATTATTGTTATTATTATTATTATTATTGTTATTATTATTATTATTATTAGTAGTAGTAGTAGTAGTAGTAGTATTATTATTATTATTATTGTTATTATTATTATTATTATTGTTATTATTATTATTATTATTGTTATTATTATTATTATTATTGTTATTATTATTATTATTATTGTTATTATTATTATTATTATTGTTATTATTATTATTATTATTGTTATTATTATTATTATTATTGTTATTATTATTATTATTATTGTTATTATTATTATTATTATTGTTATTATTATTATTATTATTGTTATTATTATTATTATTATTGTTATTATTATTATTATTATTGTTATTATTATTATTATTATTGTTATTATTATTATTATTATTGTTATTATTATTATTATTATTGTTATTATTATTATTATTATTGTTATTATTATTATTATTATTGTTATTATTATTATTATTATTGTTATTATTATTATTATTATTGTTATTATTATTATTATTATTGTTATTATTATTATTATTATTGTTATTATTATTATTATTATTGTTATTATTATTATTATTATTGTTATTATTATTATTATTATTGTTATTATTATTATTATTATTGTTATTATTATTATTATTATTGTTATTATTATTATTATTATTGTTATTATTATTATTATTATTGTTATTATTATTATTATTATTGTTATTATTATTATTATTATTGTTATTATTATTATTATTATTGTTATTATTATTATTATTATTGTTATTATTATTATTATTATTGTTATTATTATTATTATTATTGTTATTATTATTATTATTATTAGTAGTAGTAGTAGTAGTAGTAGTAGTAGTAGTAGTAGTAATATATAGTATCATCGTAATCAGCATTATTATTGATTATAAAGCTGTAATAAATATAAAAATAAAATTTTTATTTTCGGACAATGATGAGGCAATTTAAAATGCGAGATACCGTGACACTTTTAAATCATAAAAAACAAGATATAAATAGCGTTTTAATGAAAATGTGTGAATATTTTCAAATCATTTTTTAAAATTTTGTTTTCACATATAATAAGAAGGATAATGATAGCTGCAAAGTGTTTATCCTTAATAATTTAATCCGGATATATTTATGCTTTTGAGGTGAAATTCTACAAGCTCTCCTTTCAACTCCCGATCCTCGAGATTAAAATAAATGATACGCCAAGGATGAATCAAATGCGACATTATTGAACGGTTAAAGGATAATAATTAGTAGGGGACGAGTTACGAATGGCTAGGATGAGAGGAGGATACGATGATCCATCCAACCACTTCGGTGAGTCTTTAATGCCGCATTCGTGAGATTATGGAAACTGACTGGCGATTTAGTTCCCGCAATATTTGCACTTTTAACGAATGAGTGAGACGTTAACATTTAGTAATAACATTTATATTGGAAAACGTCGGTGCGAGAAGGTCGCGTGTATTGTTACGAATGTGGCCTCGTGATTGGCCGAGTGGAGAAAATTCTTTTAACGCCGAGTCGTCGAATAATATTTAAAAATTGCTTTTACTATAATAAGGAATAAATGAGGCGTACGAAAACTTGATTGGGATAATTACTCGTTAGGGGGAAGGGGAGGAAGAGAGCTGTTCTCGATTAACGGAGCCACCACATCCACCAAAGTCCTCCAACACATCCACCTAAATGATCGATAAGACTCACGTTTTCGAAGGGAATCTCAGGTGTCCAGTCGAGACCGATGTCGTCCTCGGCGTTGGCCGTCGGATTGCCCCCGGCTGAGTGCGCGATGATCCCCGAGTTGATCGTCGCCAGGGTTGTGTTGCCCATCTTGAAGCTCTTCCTCGTGCGACTGGCTGCGACCTCCGGCGTCTCGCCCTCGGGCCAGATCTTGGGTCGCGAGGAATAGCGGCGCCTCGAGCGCAGGGGCTCGACCTGCTTGATGAGGTAGGTGACGACCTCACGGTCCTTCAGGTAGTTGTCGCGCTCGATGCCCCGACCGGGCTCCACCTCGTACGCGTCGTTCAGGCACTCGAGGGTGTTGGCCGATATGTGGACTCGCCTGCGAATTCATCCAAGTCCCTCAAACCCGCGCTCCCGCGGCTTATCCTAAAGCAGAGCCTACCCGGGTATGCCGCCGCTCTCGAGGTGGTTGGCCAGGGTCACGTCGTACGACCAGACGTCGAACTGCCACTTCCTCAGCCCGAGGACGCCGCAGAGGACCGAGCCGCTGTGTATACCGATGCGCATGTTGAGATCGACCTTGGTAGTGTAGCGCACGTCCCGGATGGCCTTTATCATGTGGAGGCCCATCTCGACGCAGCAGTGGGCGTGATCGGGCCTCGCGACCGGCAGACCGCAGATACAGTAATAGCAGTCGCCTAGGAGTTTTATGCGGAGGCAGTGGTTCTCGGCGGAGAGCTTGTCGAAGCGGGCGAAGAGGTCGTTGAGTACCTTGACCAGCTCCTGGGCGCTGCATTGACTCGCCAAAGCTGCGGCAGTCCGGCAGCTCTTTTAAAATATCGGCTCCACCGGGATGTGCTATCGGACCCGGGGACGTTGTTCGGTCGATGCTCTACGCTCTCTCTAATCTCCGCCCCCCCCCCCCAATTCCCCTTTTTCACCACTTATCGTACTTTGAGAACGACGGCGTACGCGTGAAAAGAGTAGATGCTCTGGGAAAACGTAGGCCCATCCCTCTTGGCTAGATGTGTAGGATTTTTTTATTATTACGCCGACGACATTCGATGAACAATTTATTAAATATGTTAATTTGTTTATTAGATGAGCGTCAGTGTAGATGCTGCTTACAGCCTCATGAGGACGTTTGTTCGAGCAAATGAGGTAGCGAGGATGATGAAGTTTATTTGAATGGAAGCTCGTCGAACGTCGCGCCTGAGTGTCCTTATGTTTCTTCTACCTCGGATTTATAGTGACAGAAATATGTAATATTGTATGCGTGATTATAAGTGTTGCGCTGTCTTCGTCTAAATGCGAAAGCTTTATGGCTGGGAAAGTGAGTATCGGATGAAGCAGAAAATGAGTGTGTAATTTGACGTTTATCGATGACTAAGTAAAGACATGTTTGTGCTCGTTACAATTGTGGGGCTGCCATAGCTGTTGTTGTTGGATGTGATGGTGACGGGTGGGGGGGGGAGGCAAGATGATATATGTTGGCAGGTGTATAAAATATTTATGAATAATACTAGTCGATCGATTTGTTAACGCGAGAACTGATATTTCAATATGATTTTTTAACAACGCACATCTTTCCGTACATTACATAAGCGATTAAAGAATAATTTGCGTTAACGTTGAATTGATTTTATGGTTTTGAGAGAGATAGACAATATGCTACGATTGGCAACGCATTCATAAATGTTAGACATCGGTAAATTGTCTATTAACTGTGTATATAATTAATAAAGATTAATCCCTGAGACTTTTCATTTCGATATTTTCGAAACGTTAAGGCAACGCAAACAAGAACAAATGACATTTACTTTGGAAGTTCTTATTTATCATCTCTATTACTGTAAATATGATAAAATACTTTTGTGAAATAGAGCTTATAAAGCTGCACATTCTTAAAAGTATTTCTATTTTGATTTTTCATTCTCACGTAATGACGTTATAACGTTCATTATAAATAAATTACGGCATTAAACTGAAAATATCCAAAAGGAATCTGCAAATTTCGTCTTTATTTTTCCTTTTCCTTCTTTTTCCTTTTCCTTCATCTTTGTTTTCCGTTCTCGTATAAGAGCAATACCAGTGAATATTATAAAAAGATCGCATAAGTTTCGATTCATTGTCTTTCAATTGAGATTTAGATGCGTCGGCATGGCTTTTAATGTCATTAAAAACTAAGTGATAAATCTCAGTAATAGTAAAGAACGGCCAAAATTACGTATTAATAAATTACGAAACCGCCAAGTAAGTCTTTTTACTCGCATTAGTAAATATCGTTCAATCGTAATTAGATTTTGTCTCATCTACTCTTAACAGTTTTTAATTATCGTCGAACATTTCTCGTCGAATAAAATCGGGCTTATGAACGGCCGAAAGTCGTTAAAACGGTAAATTCAATTCCATCCCAAACAACGTCCCGTCCATACGTCAAATACACTACCTGTGAATCCTTTTATATCCGCAAAAAGTATGCTGACGTTCTCGTAGCGGTGAATATAGATCCTGTGAAATTGGTTGGGCGTAAAGGAAATGGTCCCTCCACGGGCCGTTTCTCGCGCTATGTCCCTGATCATTTCTTTGGCCACGAAGTCCGGCAATACTGTTGTGGTGTAGGCGAATGGTATGAGATGTGATGGGATGGGATGGGGGGGGGGAGGGGAGAGGGATTTGATGATTTTTGGTGGGGCGAGAGAAGAAAGGAACAATCTCGATTAAATAACATATTCAGAGTCTTTTATACTTCTGGGCAAATGACCTTTTCGTTTGACACGATAAACACGACATTGATTACATAGTCGTCCGTATGGTTAGTGAGCGTCGCTTACGCGGTACATCGAGTTCCGCCTGCGGGGGCGTATATTACTTTTTACCTTAAAACTGTCCCCGCGTCAACGAGTAATTTTTCGATATACGCCAGCAGCGACAACACGACAATCTCGACTCTTCACGCACGTCGCTTCTATTTTCGAGTCTCGTATCGGGGATCGATCACCGCGACAGCCATGAGGGAAGGCCTTTTTTCAAAAAAGCTACGTTCGGCCGTATCAAACACCTGCCCCTTCCACCCGCCCCGCTTAACAGCTTGTACCACCACCTGTCCGCGGGCCTCGCGCTCCCGCTCTTTCGCTCGTTCGTTCGCTCGCTCGCTCTCCCTCTCTGGCACTCTCGGGCGAGCAATCGACTGAGAATGCCTAGTGACCCTCTTGACACACGAGCGAGCAGCTTGCACGGACCAATAAACCCTACGGTCATCGCCGCTACCTTCTCTATATGCGGTCCTTACCCACCCCACGACACTGCCACCCCCGCCCGCTACTTAATGTACCACATACGTGTATCGCGCTCACGTACTTCCTCACCCACACGCCTCCATTGTTTTACTATTTATTCGATTTATTATCCCTTTACTTTCTCAATCTCGCTATATAGATTTTTTATTGTCATCTAGTAGGCACTTTATTTTTCACCTCTCTCTCTCTCTCTCTCTCTCTCTCTCTCTCTCTCTCTCATACAATCATCGAGGAAGGCCTTTTGTTACATCGAATGTCCTCGTTAAGCTTTTTCTGCGCTGCAATTCACAGCTATATCTTATGGATATCCGATAAAGGCGCAGCTCGCTATTAGAGCAAATAAAAAACATTGACATAATGATTCGATTCGAGTTTGAATTAAATAAGTAGACGGAGTTTCAACTAAGTACGAGACTCATAAAAATATTGACTCGGTGGAAAATCATATTCCAATTGTTCGCCCTCGGGGGATTTTCGAATCTGCTCCCGATTATTACTCTTTCATATTTATCGAGTTATTTAAAATGAATTACTTCTATGAAACTTCATGTGCGTACGTGTAGTGGCTGGCGCGGCTCCATTAAAAGTTGAAAAAATTTTTGAAAAAATAGTCCTCTCTATTTTAACTACGTGTTGTGTCTATCCACGCGCATGTATAAATAGACAAATACCGAGTACAAATGGTATAATTGCAGACACATTGAATTTATAAATATTGACTGTTTATTTATACATATGCACATACGCATGCGCGCGCGCGCGAGTGTGTGTGTGTGTGTGTGTGTGTGTGTGTGGCCACACGCACGCGCGCGTTTGTATGATGTCAGAATTGAATTACGCTTTTATTGCAAAATATATGGCTTTTATTTTAAAAGAAATTAATTTATTTTTGTATTTTTCATAAGGTTGTTAATTGAACGCAATTAGTGTAAGACGATAATGGAAAATTAAAGTTTTATTCCATCGCTATAATTATTTTGTAATTTAAGAACTATTTAAAATGCCGGTATAAATACTATTTCTTTGCTAACAATATTAATTAACAGCTTTGAGTAAAAGTTGCTCGTGTACATTCTCGTACTCATGGACACAGATCTTTGTGTGCGAGAGCGCGCGTGCGCGCACACAAACACACGCGCACACAAAACAGGATCGTTATTATAAACGAACGAAACTGCGGCAACAAAAATATTCCACTGTGTTGAACAATGTTACGAGAATATTGAAGTAAAAAGAAAATAACTCAATGGCTTTAAATTTTATTTTTAGAAATCTTTACTTTGTATTGGGATTCAATTATGTCAAATTAACGGTTAAGAATCAGCCGAGCCGAGGCAATTTTTATTTATCCCTACTTTTATTCTTCTGGTTGAAATTCTCTTTCTACATTGTTCGCTATGGCACATTTTTCATTATTGTTGTTACGCCGCTAACTTATTATATACTCGGACATCGATTGACGTTGCCTCGCACATGGACGAATGTAAATAAAAAAAAAGACAATAAATTCATTACTGTTGTCTTGCCGTTATATTCACGATAAGAATAGTCGTGCCGATATTAATCTATATCCTGCTTTTCAAATTGTTATCCTATAGTCATAAATACACGCAATCTTTTAAGGACCTAGTGACGGCAATCCCCCCTCCCCCCTCCCGTCCACCCGCTGTTCCGCTTGCGTAACCTAAAGGCGCATTTAGAAAAGTAAAATTCGTACCTTCGATCGGCTGATTCTCCACCGATGTCATATCGATTTTATCAGTATGCTCTTTATGACTCACCAATCACTTTTTATTTATTAGCGGAGCAACAGTCTTCAATAAAAGTAATAAAATCTAATGAAAATAAACCGTCATGTTTATCATGATCGTTCGCTCCCACCGCACTTTCATCGCAGCATTAATTTTTATAAATTGCGCCGCTAAAAGCGCTACCCCAAGTTATTATAACCAGAGTCGTACAAGCCTGGACGCTAAAGGTATACGCCAAGGAAACTTACCGGACAGCAAAAGTTTCTCCTGTCGGTTGTTTTCGTTCTGCGTCCTCTGCCTCGTCTCCATGGAACGATGTGTCTCGAGGAAGGCCTGACGTTGTCCCCGGTCCGTCAGATACTTGGTGTACATGCCAGCGAGATTCACGGCAAAATACAAGATTAAGTTCGTCGCGACCATCCGTGCGATGCACGACGTGTCCTGGAATTATCATTACGAACTTGGCTAAGACTAGATATATGATGGTTGGATGGATGGATAGACGGGTGTGTGTGCGCGCGCGCCTGTGTGCAAGGAGGTGCAAGGAGGTGCAAGGAGGTGATGACGGACATGTACGACATCTACGCGCTCGAGCACGCAGCGAGCATATAAAGTACACGTCGACCATCGCTGTCATCATCAAGGCAAGAAAGTGCTCGTCTTCCCGTCCCTCCAGGACTTTACTCTCTCCGTAACGAAAGCGCCCGATTAGATAAGGAGAGTCGCGAAGGATCTCTGTATTTGCTTGAAAGATGGACGTATCGAGTCCGCTTCCACTTTCTTCGATAAATGCACAAACGCGCTTCAAGCGAGTGATATGATAAAATGCCAGTGGTAAATTAAAATGGTCGAGTCCTAGGCGATGGGTCGAACGAGTCGACGGGAATGGCTTAGCAAGCGCCTTCTAGGATAAATAAGGAATAAACGAAGCCGCGAGTTACGCGAGTATTTATAATCCGTCTATTTATACGCAACGTGCGCATCAAGAGACACGGTACGCTGATACAAAAAATTGTCCATTTTAAAATAAACATCGGTGACGCTTGACGATGACGAGGATGATTATGATGATGATGATGATGATGATGATGATGACGACGACGATGACGACGACGATGACGATGACGACGACGATGACGACGACGATGATGATGACGACGACGATGACGACGACCAATGACTTTCTTGAAGCGTCTCGGGCTAATGAATCTGTCCTTAAAGGCGGGAATGGAGTGGTCGTTGATGAGAGACGACGGATCCCCGTCGTTGATCTAATAATAAGAGCGCGTTAAGGAACTTGGCAACTGACCTCGTGGTGATGCGCGTCGTTGAGGAGAGTGACCACGGCTATTAGCAGGTGGGTGAAAGCGGTGCCGAATCCCGCCAGGACGCACCACCTGAGGGGTAGAGGCAGCATCGCGTACGGGGCGTAGACCACGAAGAGGATGTACCACATGAGACGTTGTTGCGTGAGAAAGTTAAGTCCCGCCACTATGAAACCTGGGGGCAGGAAGTTGTGCGCTCAAATGCCGAAGACAATTTATCAGTGTTTTAATGGATTGGGCAGGGGGGCTTCGATCGGGGGGCTTGGGGTCACATTTTTGCACGACCGTCCTATCAACGCGCTACCTCCCCCGCGTTCTTCCCGTCAACCACGTTTTGGTTTAGGAATTTTTTTTCTTTGCTGGTTTTGAGGGCAGCATCGCCTCGTTCTGTCTAATAGAGGGAGCGACAAAGAACAGTGCTCGCGCGCGTTCGTACACGAGGATTAAAAATTGAAATTTTATTCTATCGAATTGACGCACAAGACTTTGAAAACTTGATTTCAGATACGCTGGCTTTTCTTTTTATGACGCCCGATGCTTTATGCAGTATCTTATGCGACTTTATGATTATTGTTGTTATCGTCATCGTTATCGTTATCGTTATCGTTATCGTTATTTGTTGTTGTTATTATTATTATTATTATTATTATTATTTGTTACTATTGTTATTATTGTTATTATTCGCTTGTAATTACTACCTTCGTGGACGAATATGGTAAATGTATACCGTTAATTTATGCCTCGTGGATTGCCACCAATGAAAAGCGCATTATCACTTACTTTACTTACGGAAATTGAAACTTTTATGGAATGAAGATAATGGCCAATATAACGAAGCTCGCATTTTGCAAATTAGTATTTAAAGTTTTCAATTATATGATATATGGGCTAATGCGTGGGCTTTAAAAATTCCCTCCCCTAATCCATTATTACGATTCGACATTGATTCCCCGAACACCCTCAGTCCCCTATTATTATCCATCACTTTCAATGTATCTTTTACTTTCAAAGTTCCCAGCTCGTAATATCCAAGGTCTTCATAAAATGCCATTGTTGGCCATTAATTGTCTCGGGCTTATCGGCGATTGTTAATCGTTAGCATCGAGTGGGTAACGCAATATCAGAAGCTTTGAGCATCCGTAGACTATCGGACCACAAAGATCGATCGGTTGAGAGTATTTAATAATCTAATTCAGTCGTATGGCAGTGATTTCACTCGTGCCGATATTAATGATAGTTTGTGTGAATTGAAAGTTCATTACCGGTGAGACATTTTACAAATTCGACCATTAGACGCGAGGGTTGAGAGGGTTTGATAAAATTGACGTTCTTCCGCTGCTTTCGTTACGTTTATTCTCGGCTGTCGTTCAATCGGTATCAACAATCCTAAATGCGCTTCTAGTTCCCATGAAGTTCCGGCGGCTTTGTTAATGGATGCTGCTCAAATGTCATTCATGAGGGGAAAATACAAATGCTCCGAACAAATGCAAATACGAACAATCCAATGAAGATTTCGTTGAAAAAAAAAAAACTAATTATTTTCTAGTTTTTTTTTTGTTTGTTTGTTATTGTTGTTTTTTGTTTTTTGTTTATTTTGTTTTTGTATTTACTAGAGTTCAAAATAAATGTCTTTTTGAATGCTACTCTACATCATTCTACAATCATTACAATTAACAGTGGAAAACTTTTAAAATTAAGATATGTCCAGTTTCGTCAATGTGACTCCATCGTCTAATCAAGGATATCATTTTTCTCACTTTAAAGTTCAATTTTATTTAAAATTATTTGCAAACTTTTGCAAAATCTCTCGATGTGACGATTTCACTAGATACGAAGTGCATAATGCAATCATCTTTGTGAATTCCAATGGATGAATGATTTGTCCGTTACTTTGCAAGCTCGTAAAAATTTATTGCTCACGAGAGTAGATAAAAATTGTTGGTATTGATCATAATGATTTCGATCAGATGACAACGAGCTCGTTATTAAAATTGTCAAAGCCATAATATGTTAATGTCATTCTTCATTTTTAATAATTTTAATCTTGCCAATTTAAAGTAATATGTTTTAATTTAAATTTTATACGAGATAAATCGAATGAACTAATAGACAAATCGCAGACTTTCAACTTTAAATTATGAATAATTCACGTTATTTTTGTAACGATTAACCTGCTCCATTCCCATATTAGCGCTTGGCATTTTCGGAGATCTGTGATCGATTCGCAAAACAAGCAAAATACAAAAGCGAAGCGCTCGAATGAAGATCGATTCAATTAATCGGAGAGTCGCGGTGCCGAAGGGATCGGCTGAAATGAACTTTTATTCGCAAATCTCATATACATTGGAAGATTTATCGGTGCGTGCATATTATTTTTCCATCAAATCTCAATACCACTGCTCCATACGCTATACCTAGGAAAATATACTCTAGCCGTTTGTCATCGATATTTCATCAACACTTTTATTTTAAGATATCGATTAATTAATTCCTCCCCCCCCCCCCCCCCCCCCCCCCCACCCCCCCCCCCCCCCCCACGCCAACCGCCAACCCACCCGATCGCCAATATCCCGTCTGAATACGAGACGCGCCATCAGTCACCCGTGAATGGGAAAATCATCGTGCTTTGACATGGTAGCGTGAGCTCACCTCTATTGTGTCTCTAAACAGTTTAATAATAAATAATCCCCAATACAATCGGATAAGTGTATCGCGTCGATGCTGAAAGAGCCGATGGCGATGAGTAGAACAACCACTTGTCAGATCTTTAATCTTGAAATAATCATTCTCCTCATTTCATACGCGAATCTCAATAAAAGCAATTTCCGATAATAATAATAATAATAATAATAATAATAATAATAATAATAATAATAATAATAATAATACTAAAAATAATAATATTAGCGGAGAGTCCGTACGAGCCGTGACGTGAGTAAGCAAGTTAGTTTAAGGCAGCAAATAACGAAATAAGCCGTTATATTGCCGTGATTCGAGATTCAAGACACCTCGTCGCGTAGCTCGATCTCTCTCATAAAACCAGTGGAGTTTAAACGAAGAGGGAGCACGTAATAAACCTTTTGCTTTGCGAAAGGGCTGCCTAAGGTCTGAATGAAGTTGGGCCAATCGCAAGGCAATCGGTCGATACGAACGAGCCGTCGCTTAGTCAAGGAGCCGCCCGAGTCTTTGCATACCCTGGGAATTGATGAGGAGCCAGGTGATTATGGAGGCCCAGTAGAGGTAGTTGTTAGAGAAGCACCGCCACCAGCCGAGGGCGCAAACGGAGAGGTTCGATAGCACGCAGCAGGTCGACCAGGCCAAGGACTCCACGAGGCCTTTGCTCTTCTCGTTCCGCCTCCACAGCCATATGGACATCAGGCAGATCTGGTGAAATGGCGGCCATTTGTCACTCGTTGCTTGATTAAGGAACTTTTGGTCGCGAGGCAACTGTCCGCTGACTTCGATGGGCTATGCCAATTCAAAAAGTCGACGGTACGACGCCAAAACAGGGGACAGACATTTTGGAATATTGTTCATTGCCTACGCGCGGCACATCGTACTATTTAAAGAGCGCATTTCTTTTCTCGCCGCTCGTCCTAACTATGAGTCCACATTAATTTTGTAAAGTGCGTTAAAAGTCATGAGCAAAGTCATTGCGATCATTGCGTCTGTTGATATTGTCGACAGAAACTTTAGGCTTTCGTGCCCCGAGCTGGTGCTTTTATATTTGATTTTCTTAATAAACGCTTTCCTCTATGATTAACATTAATTTAATTATTATCGAGTCGATCAAATTGCTCCAGCGTTCTTATATAGTGAATCGTAAAAAAAAAATAATACGCGGTACATTATTATTATTAAGCATTGATTCTCAAAGCAGTTAAAGAACATTTTAATCGATTTAGATTGTAGCAATTGCGCTCCTTTTATCTTCGGCATATAATAAAATGCTGAAACAACTCGAGCAATCGAGCTTTCATCATTCGGTACTTTCTTAAATAATTTTAAAAAGAAAAATATATAAATAAAACAGCAAAAGACAAAACAAGAACAACAAAAGAAAAAAAAAACAAAACAAAAACAAAAATTAATGCCCACGGTAATTAAAAATGCGCGGTTTCCCTACGAAATTAAGCAATTAAAACGAATCCTTTGCTCACGCGATGGCGACAGTGAATCGCTGTGATTGTAATCAAAGTCAATCGAGCATTTTAAAATTAATTATTAAAGTCCACATCGATTAACTTATGGTGCTAATATTGACAAAGTAATTAAGCCGATATTGCCGATAAATAAAATATTATTGCTCACGCCAGTAAAAAAAAAAAAAAAAAAAAAAAAAAACCACAGTTGATTAATATCTAATTAACTTCGATTTTCTTGTTTACAGTTCACAAACTAAATTTTCTCTTTAATGAATAGAGTCCTTACATTATGAATTTTGACGTAATTATTTTATAAACCCATATTCACTCACATTAGATGTGCACCCATAACGTTTGAAATAATAGTAAACTGCTATTTAGTTTCTACAAGCAACGCTTACCAATTTGCGAATTTTTCTTATGCCATACCTTCAGCCCAAGGTCAATAATATTCAGCATTATCAGTGACTTTTGTCTCTGTCGATTTGAATATTGTAGATACGAATTTTCCAGCTGCTTACTATGGAAGCTGTTGGTTAACGATGGACAAAATATGCCTTTGTAGAGAATGCCGTTCTTAAAAACATCTACAAAAATACAAGACCAATACATATTTAAAAATACAAAAATTTACCATCTTTTGACAAGTATTTTATTAATATCGATTATTAAATAACGAAAGGATTTTTATTGAATTCATGAGATGGTCAGGTGATTTTTTTTTTTTTTTTTTTTTTTATTCGCCATCCATCATAATACGGAGACGAGCAATTATTCCAATAATAAGATATCGCATAAATGTCCTTGAACTTTTATTACGTAATACTTTGTTATTCAATGGTTTTAAATGTTCAACCAAAATTTATAAACGCGTTGATAATGCAAAAGATAAATGCAACCAGCATTAGACCGCCAGCTGTTATTATTTGGCATTCAAATGGGGGGCATTTAATAGGTAAATAGTTAATGAGATAAACGTAATTTGTCTGTCCTGACGAAAAGAAGAAAGAAAAGATCTTTCACCTTATTTCTCCAGTCTAGAAGAGAAATAATTTTCAGAGCATAAAAACATAATCTCCAAATACGTTTCAATTAACGTTTTACAATATTATTAAAGCAATTGTTAAAATTACTAATTATTATGCGCTTTAAATAACTAAAAAATATTTTATGAATCTCGTAATGCTCCTACAGGGAATTACGTGCAAACATATCGATTAGAAAAATGTAAAGGGAATTGAAATAATAAAGAGTGTCTTTTAAATTAAAAAAAAAAAATAATAATAATAATTGAGTTCAATGTAAAATGGCGACTGAAATAAATAAAATAGTACGTAAACTTTTTTATGTTAGTTATATTCTAAGAACGTTTTTCCATTTTTCCGATTTTTTCTCTCTCCATTATTTACAATACCAGGCCGTGATATTATTTAAGATATATATTTTTGTCTTTGTGAGTTATAACTTTTCATTGGTGACGGAAAATCTCAACAAAAAAAAATATATATATATATATATATATACGATTGTATCGAATATAATAAAAAGTGGCAATTATTATTAGCGCTTCAATAGATTTTAAAATAAAATTTCAACATCTTGCGATAATGCGTTTATAATTTTTTTTTTTCACCAAATAGGCTATATATTAAAAAAGTAAAAAATCGTACGGATTTTTCGATTTATATACAACTGTCTTGGAATGATATTTTACAAAATTTATATTACATTTTAGCTATATTTTGATGATTATTTTAATCAATGAAATATATAAACAAATTATTGTCAATTTAATTGAAATGTAATGGCACTGATGAAACAGAAATCGTTAAAATGAAAGCGCAGTTGAATTAAAATTGAAAGTCTTTTTAATTGATAAATTTTTATAAATTTTTTATTAAGAGTACGCGAAATCCTTTGTAGAATGTTTGAATTAAAATTGAAAGTATTTTTTAATTGATAGATTTTTAGAACATTTTTATTAAGAGTCTACGAAATCCTTTGTACAATGTTTATTAAACGAATTATTTAAATTTTTCAAAATCAAATTACAAAGGATTAATGCAGACTTTGAGTTGCAAACAATATATATAACAAAAAAATACGAATGATACAAAGATTTCTTTTCTTTTGACTTAATTTACATAAAAGTGATTTTATTGCACCATAATTATAATTAATAAAATATCTTTATCTTCATTCACAATTAAATAGTCTGCAATATAATTACAGTGTGCGTTGTTAGTAAGCCTTAATGCAATGTGAATAATCGTTTTTGGCACACTTATGCTCAACGTGTTTACCACGACTAATAAAAGTTTTACGAATAAACTCTAATCGTCAAATATTAATAATCAGATATGCGATATCCTCACGATTCCTACTGCTCCTGTTCTGTGTATAGTAGCAGAGACATATATTTTCATATTTAATTCCGACAATTCTATTTACAATACTCGTGCAAGCCCAGCACACAATTTCTTTTATAAAATTTATATTTAATGGGTGTTAATTCACTAATTGACTAATAATATTAACGATACGCATAAACATCGATGCATGGATGAACGTATACAACGTCTCAATACAAATATTATTCGCTTAGTCCTGTGTACGCTTATACGACGATTAATAGCTTATAAAGAAGGATTCACGAATTATACTCTGTATTCTGTTTATAAAATAAGTTTAACATTTAACAAATTGTATTAACTTTACCACATAATAAATGCTTCCGTTCAATTTTATGCTACTAATTTCGCAAGCTTTAAAAATGTAATTCGATATTATAAAATTTAATTTTCCGGAACGTATGATATTTCAAATATCTTGAAACAATAATTTATCAGCAATAATAAATTGTATGTCGACATAATCAATTATTTTGATAAATAATCATTGAACGCGCCTTAACAATTGATTAAAAAATTAAAGTAAAATAATAATAACAACAACATCAACAACAACAACAACAACAATAGCTGTAGTGGTTGTAATAATAGTAATATATTTAACGATATGCATCTATGTCAAATTGTCAAATCAAGTTTATTTTGATGTGGACATAAAAATTATGGGCCATATTTTCATAGATGACCTCCGCACGATTATTTAAAGTACCATAAATTACAAATTCAAAGACTCGCTGATGCCGTTTTATTCGCAATAAATATTGTGCTAAACAAAACGTCCAATTAGTCACTTATAAATCTTATTTGATTGCTAATATTCAGGAAAAAAGTAAATTAATCGAAAATTACTACACACACACACACACACACACACACACACACACACACACCTATAAATGAAATGTTGTCCTACAATATCCCTTGTAGATCCGATATTTTTACATTGGTCAATTTAAAGTAATTTAAATTGTTGTAGTAATTTATACATTAATAACAAATACTATAACAATATATATATATATATATATTAAAAGCCCGTCTATTTTTACTTTGAATTTAAATTCAAATAAATTTATTTCAATGGTAAATAGTTGTATTATGTAATTGATTTTAGTGCCTCTAAGTTTGTCACATTTACATGAGATATATACACGTGTCAAATAAATTTTGTTTTAAATTTAATATATGAAATAACATTAAACAAACATTTAGTTAAAGTAATGTTATTTGCTTACCCGAACATGCTTACGAAGTTGTTTAAGATAACTTCAACCATCACTGTACTTAAAAGTATTTTGTCTATTAATTGTTTTGCAGGCTTTTAACATTCATATTTTGACAGAATTTATGATTATTAATTTGATATATTTAAAATCATCTATCATTTTTGATATTCTTGTAATTTATGCATCATAGTTGGATATTTTTATAAAATCTAACGTTGATTCCTTTATTTTTAGTTAAACTTCGACATTGAAAATGACATAGACTCTACAATTTACTATTTTAAGTTTCATTTAAATTTGCATGAGCATTTGATCATTATATCATTTATCAGTATTTTCACTATATAATTTTTACGAATTTAATAGCGAATTGGAAAATCGAATAGGAAATGAAATTGAATGGCAAAGGTGAATTAATGCATCGCCTTGCTTTCATCAAATCTGGATTTCGAAGGATTTTGATAAATTCTACTTCAATTCTACGCCAATATTATTACTTAATACTGTTTTGTATTTAAATTTATTAAATACGTAAATGGGCGTAGTATTATCAAAATAAATGCCTATACATTTATATTATTAGTAGTTTTATTTTTTCTTTTTCTTTTTCTTTTTCTTTTTTTTTTTTTTTTTTTTATGCCAAATACTCGAACAATAATGCATTGAACGAAGCAATGGAATTATTTAAATACTTTTCAATAATATTTTGTAAAAAAGAATAGGCAGGACATAATATAATGTCAAAAGTTGAGAAAAATCATGAGACTTAAACGATTATTTTCTTATACCGGTGCACGCACAATGAAATAAGCAAGAGATTCTTTTTTTGTTTTCCATATACTTTTGCTTGAATTAAATTGCTTAATATATTGTAGTTGTTCTGACCATTCCTCGGTACTTTTAATTACAGACAAATTTCTCTTCTTTATAAAGCTTTTGTAAGAAAATGAATTTGAGAAAATTATGCTCCTTTATCGTGTTGTTTACTATCAATTGTTAAGCTATTAATCAATCTATGCAGGTTAATTTAAAACTTTTTAATCCACGGTAAAATAGTGCTTCTAGAAAGCCAGTTTATTTATGAATCCAAACTATATGCTTGATAGTGCGTTCAATTTTGATTTACGATTCACGAATTCTTAGTAATTTTTGAAAATATCTTTGCTAAATGTTTAGCAAATAGGCTTTCTATCATTCTTATAAAATTATGACAAAATTGAAGATTTTGCTTTGATCGAGTGTTTGTATATATTTTTAATCTGCGTGATTAAGGCTTTTAAATTCGCGTTTTTAGCTCATCATGTGCTTGCCGCATACCTTTATTATTGTTATACTTGTTGCTGCCGAACCACATTATGCCATTTTATTTATTTTATGTGGATTCGTTATTTAAAATTTTTACATATTTCTTTGCTTTTTTTCCTTCAATATTCCATATCCAAGTGCAGTTTTATTTTCTTGACGCTTTTGTAGTTAGTTCGTGCATATTCATAAATCATGTATGTTTTTTTTTTTTTTCGTTTTTTTTTCGTTTTGTTTTGAATCCAAATGTGTTCCATTTTAAAATAATATGCTTATTATTTTAATATAGTATGCTTATTATCATTGATATTATCAAGTGTCTCGAGTCAAACATGGAATGTATTTATTTATCAATATTCAATTAAATAATTCTATCAATATGGCTTATCACGTTCTATATGATCGGTTATAATTCGATATGATTCTATACTGATCGGTAATTCTTACTCTAGCCAATGCCAATAGTAACAATAAATAATAATACCATTAATTGGCGTCTCTAGTGATGCAATGATAATTAAAGTAGCTGCGATTTATATGAAAGCGCAATAAAAATCAGTCGTTTTAGTGGTTTTTTTAATTTTCCGGTTACCTCGTATGTATATTTTTATTTTTCAAGTACTTACTTGTAGCAACGAAATTCTAAAGGTGAAAAGGATTCTGATTAGTCTCGTACTATTTCATTATCTCCATTCAAGAAATATTGGAGCTCAAATATCCAGTATTTCTTATGGAAGTCAAGTCGATTAACAATCAACCTATCATCGAATACTCAATTAGCACATAAATATTTCGTTTTATTTATCATAATTTGTTGAGATTCAAATAAAGACATTAGGAATTTACAAGAAATCCGTAGTACCGCTTGTCTTTGTAACCTTTGCCAGCCTCGGTAAATATCTCTGTTTATTTCCGTCACATCTCAAAATATCCGATCATTAAGCAATCGACTTAGCGAATACACCATTGGCGATTCCTTATATTTCCTTCATGTCCTAATTTCGAGTGTAAACGACTCCTCTGTTGACAAAAATTATAAAGCCGCCCCGCCTCCCCCAACTCCTCATAGACTCTAGCACGGGCTTCTCCATTATCCCAGTTTTCCGGGCGTATGATAGTAGTGAAAGGGGAGGGGGGCGAGCTAACGATGCAGAGTGGAATATATCGTGATGTAATACGCTTGTGCGTACGTACCCTCGGTATCGGTGGCAGTTCTCTCGGTACCGGAAAAACCAACCTCCGTGTCGGCCGATGCGTCCGAGGACTTCTTCGTCCTGTCATCCATCTCCTGGTCCTCCTCCTCGGTCTGCATGCTCGACTTGCCCTCCTCCCAGGCGGCGAGGCTCTCGCGGCCCAGACGCTCCGACGTCAGCTTCTTCACCGCCTTTATCCATAGCTGCTTACGGGGTGAGATGCTCAGCCTGAAAGACGACTCGACTTTTGAATTAAACGAGAATGGTTAGCCGAGCTTTAGTTGAAGTCAAGGGGATAAGGCACTCGAGGCTCGCTGCGAGGCTCCCTACGCCGACTCAACGTCCGAACAATTAATCGCGAGATCCAGGCGAATATATATTGAGAGCCGCACTGCCGTAACTCGTGATGACATTCGGCAAATATTGAAACGCAGACGTACCTGATATGGCGAGTATTGGATCTTCTTTATCCTACTGCCTTGTCGTATTTCGCGGGTGGGGATGGGAGTGGGGAGGGGTGGGGGAGGGTGGTGGTGGTGGTGGAGATTAATGTCATAAAGTAAATTAATTTGACGATCGGGCAGCATCGAGCTTTAGGAAAGCGTATTAATTCTCGTCAATCTGCCATTGAATGAATTTGAATTACTCGGATCATCGGATGTTTAATGATGGAAAAAAATTGTTCGATTCTTTCTCTAGCTCGAGTAGCCAAGAGCGAGGGTATGAATTATTTTTCACATACAGTATTACCGATTGAGTCTCCCCAATCTACGCTGAATTAAATATAACAAGTATTTGATTTATAGTCCAATCTGATTTCCACTTTCTATTTTTCTTATTTTATTACATTTATTTACGTGGATATTTTAATGACGAGTTATGAAGTTTGATAGCGCTATATAAAATTTCGCATATCTTCCTTAACGACACGCCAAAAATATCTGTACGTTTCATCGAGTGTTAGTCTGCTATTATTAAAACAGTTATTACCGGTAACAAAATAATAAAAATTTATGAAGCATTGCTGGAAAATCGGATAAATAAAATTATTAAATATAATGGGCAAGGGATCCTTAAGAAATTTGCTCCGAAACAAGTGCAGATTTCGTTAATCTTATTTTGTTAATCTTATTGTTGCGAGTATGTTGAAATATGCAATGTAAGCTAGTGATGCTGTAAATGTACCGTTGGTTAATCAGACATAAATAGCAAGTATAATGTCGTCGCGAAAGGAGGTTATAATTATTATGAGAACGGCTACTGAACAAGAATAAACATATTTGTTACTTTTAAAAAAAAGTACTCTTTCATTAATAATGATCCAAAATAATAATAATTTAAAATATTATATTTTTAATGGATGTAGGATGTAGTGAGTTTTTTTCAGATCATATTTACTCTAAGCGTTAGTATGTTAAGCGATAAAGTAATTTTAGTTGAAACATTAAAGATAATATACTTTCGGATAAAAATACATTTCTCTTTCTTATTTATGAAAATTGATTGTCATTAATTCTACACTACGTATTATGGCAATATTTTTCTCCTATTTTTATTTCATTTTAATTAATACAAGAAAGCTTACGGGATGACAAATTAGGCTAATAAATAAGGGAAGATTTTTTTCTCGTCCATTTTTAATTTAAATTACAACGATAATTTTCAAATGATAAAAATGAATGAAATCGTTATAATTATAATATTGGAGGTGGTAATGAAGTACACCAATCGTTATATTATCCAATGAGCACTTATTTACATTATAATGAATGACAATAACCAATGCTCAATGATCTATTCGATAAATCAATCTCATATCCAAATGATATTTATAAAAATAATTTAAGATAATTCTAAACAAAAAATTTATTCCATCACACATGTTTTATCACGCATCTATTTTCTATTATTGCCATTGTAACTTTTGTCATAATGTACCTAATTATATACCGAATAAGCAAAATGGTAAAATATTTTGCTTAAAGGATTCGACTTATTTCAGAATTATTGATGTTCTATTAGCAATAGGACATGTTTAATCTTAAAAAAATCTTAAAAATGGAATTTTTATTAAAAAGTTAAAGAAGAAATTTTTAATTTTCTCTATTATCTCTATTATAAAATTACTAAGTAAAGCATTTATTTAGTGAAACAAAACAAAATTAAAAGCAAAAACAAAAACAAAACAAAAAAAAAAACAAAACAAAAAAAAAACAAGAAAGACAATAAAATTATAGTTAAAAAAAAAGATATTTTTAGCCAAAGATTCAAACGTAATGAATCGGCGGTAAATGCCTAAGTATTGAGAAATGGCATATATGTAATATATAATAATAATAATACACGTCCATCAATAAATTGTGAATTACTAGTTTTATCGTTGAATACTAAGTGTCGAATTTCCTGTTTATGACTTACGAATGTAGCATTATTGCTAATTAAGTAAGCAAAATATTGATTTCTCATATGAAAATGTTGCATTAAGTAAATTTTTCTTAACACATTAACTAAAATTCAACAAATATATAAACACAATTTTTTTTTTTTCAACTTAAACTTATCACGTAAGTTTTATGTTAATATTTTCACAGTATTGTGCGAAAAACTATATTTATCACATTGCGCTCAACAAGATATGCAAATAAAAATTTTTATTTCACACGCTACTTATGTAATTTAAAACGTTTAAGAACAATGCTCATTACGTAATCATAGATTTTCATATTTTCTTTACAATACAATTCAAAACAATATTATTTTCTAATATCGGCAAAGCTCGTTGTATTCCATTGTATTTAGCGATGATAATTTAAATTTTTTAAAAAACGCCCTTCTTAAGATTTTATTTAATTACAAATTTTACAGCTAATTGATTCTGGCGTATAATGAGACGCTTCGATAATTAAATATTTCATTTTCCTATATTTGCATCTTTTTTTATAGTAAAGCAGAAGTTGAACATAAAATAATATTAGCTTTATACAAGAAATCGTATTTTCTTAACATTCCTTTTTACATGAAGTTATTTATATCTTAGGAACATAGTCGGAAAATTTGAAATGTCAAGATGACGTTCGCTGGTTGATTTTGCAAACATGTGATTTTAACGAAAAGCGACTAAACGACCAAAAGAGTTAATACGGATCACTTAATTTTAATAACGGTATCTTGTATACACGAAGCCCCATAAATCTATTTCCAAAGTCGGCGTTGAGTTAATTATATATGAAGATGAGCGCCTGGACATCTAATATTATAATGTTTTCTTGGCTTTCATACGTTCATGAATTTTCCAAGGTCCTATAGTTTTTCATGCATTTTCCAAGCATATTAATGAAATATAAATGTAAATTTATATGATTGATCATTAAGTTGCCAAAATATTTAAACTTTATGTAAGACATGATAAATATATGGTTGATTAGATTTTATAATATAAATAATACATTAATAAAAGGCCTGTTCACGTAAATTTTCAATACTAAGTACACATCAAACAATTGATGATGACATACGCATAATCAAATTGCGTAATTGAATATGAAATTTTCAATTTTTTTAACATAATTGTATTGAATTATTAGTAAATATATCAAATAAACCAATACAATTAATTTAAAGAGCTCGCTTAATGTAGCATAAATTTATCCTGCTACTTACTTTCTATATAGCCAAATGACAATTGCGTTTTAAATATAATTTATATTTGGCTTGATAGAGGAAAAAACAAAGGGGAGAAAAAAGTTCATGTTCTTTATCTCAAGCGACAATAAGCGAAAAGGAAAAAAAATCTTGCTCGCTTTGAATTGTCGAATTACCTGTTATCCTGAGATGCGGCAAATATTGTCAAAACAAATTTTTAACTTATCGAATAAAAAAATTTCAAGAATTATTTAAATGGCCTTCTGCTTTTCTTTTTTTTTAAAAAATTTTTTAATTATTTTAAATTTATGACACAACAATTGTTATATCATCACTAATGATCTAATCAAATCCGATCTAATTCGTTCATATTAGTGATTTTAGGAATTTTAAAAATTTAAATTTCATTAAATTGAAATAACTTTTTTTTCTTTTTTTCTTTGTTTCCTTCTTTTTAATATAGAATATAACAAATGGCGGGAAATCTTTCAATTTAAAAGAAAATATTCGATATAAATATTTGTATACCGAAGTTTCGGTTCAATAACTTCCTATCATTATCGATTATTTTTGCAGACAAAAAAAAAAATCATGCATTTGATTTTAAGATAAAATTCCTTTATATTCCACATGCAGATGCTTGGCAATTATTGAATAATTGCAATTATTATTATATTTATATATAATTAAATTAATAGTAAAAATACGCAATATAATTAAATTATTGGCAATTACATGAATAATAACAGTATGACGGCTATGAAAGTGAAGGCAGCGTTAATTAGATCCAGCGTCCATAATTCACTATAAAATACAATTGTACTTGTGCTTCGGATAGGGAATATTTGTCATCGAGGCTAATCTTACGTGGAGTCAATCTATGATTTGTGATTGTGGAATCAGCTGATTTTCGACTTATTCCAAATCTAGTTTTTCATTCCGAAAATACGCATAACATGAGTAGATTGTGAATGATTTTTTTATAGTCCCAAGAATATGTTTAGTAAGTAACAGTAAACATGCCATCTAATTCGTTAATAATTCACGTAGATTTATCGTGTCTGATTTTGCTAATGACGCGGGGAAAAAAAAGAACAAAAGAAAAAAAGAAAGAAAAAAGAAAGAAAAAAGAAAAAAGAAAGAAAAAAGAAAAAAAAAGAAGAAGAAAAAAAGAAGAAACAAAACACGATTCAAGTAAATTATAACATAATAGAAACTGCATGACTCAATACGGTGAAAAATAAGGTGAAAAATAATATAACCGGGATTAATTTACATAAATTTGAATAGGTTTTAATAAAGAAAATTATTAATTAGCAGGTGGGGCACGTGGCGCGTATAATGAAGGAAAATACGAATTTTCCGACCAATAAATTTCATACTTCTACAAAATTACTAGCATTATATTACAAAGCGTAAAGCTGCAACGAGGCCTCGGAGGCGTCGAGGTTAGATTTTAAAATTTGTTCCTGCATCGCGGGACACGGGGCTGCTGGGCGAGTAGACATCTTAGTTCATCATCGTGTCTGAACTCTTCTTCCCCACTCAGCTTATTCGCCCGATTTAGCTCCGTCCGACATTTTTCTTTTTTCTTTCAAAAATTTCGTTACGCGGGACACGACTTTACGAGTGCTAATGGGGACATGACAGTGCAAACTATAGACAGTTTTATTTAAACTGAGTTGAGAGCCCCAGTGAATGGGATATGCAACGTAATTAATAACAATGTTTGTCGAATCGAGCGGTACATTAACTGACATTTTTTCTAAGTATTTTCATTACTACGGGCATGTAATTAGAATTTCGTAATCCAGATTTGGGCCATGTATAAGTGATCTTATGTTTTCATAACAGTTAAAAATAAATCTTCCTATAAATTAAGACGACTTGGAAAATCGATGATTTGCCAAGCAATTTATTAATGACTTGGAATAAATAACAAAATACTTTTCGTTAAATTTTTTGTCTTAATGTCGTTGGACTTGGGCCCGCGCTATCTAGAGGCATTGTACAAAATCCAACTAATATTTCAAAATCGTCAATTACGTCAATTTCCGTATGACAGACTTTCGAATATAACTTTTCAACTATTTATACCATCAACGTAAGTTATAATTATATTTAAGGTACAAAACTTAAAAATATAAATGGAACAATCTTTGACATTCTGAGATCGAAGTACCTATGGTTGTCCATTCATGCAACAATTAATGTAATAAGTTTTATTTAGTTTATAATTGTAAAATAATAATTTTCATCATCACACTATAACCCAAAATATTTATCAATGTAAGTTATTTAGTTTCTCGTGACATAATGCGGTAGTTAAATTGGTGATATTATTGGTATATAGGTTTTGTAGTTTTATTTTTTCCGTGTTAATTTATAAAATTTATAAAATATAATTGTAATTTACAAATAATATATAAATTAGTTTTTATTCTGTTTTTTTCTTCTTCCGTATAATACGGTCTTATATAAATTTAATGTCTTACAAAATATTTTACAAATTTCTTATATTATATCATCGTAGAAGAATTATTATTGGCAATTATCAATTAATTAATTCTTATCAATTATATTGTAAAATTAAAGCGAAGAAAAGAATAGCAGAATAGCGATACAAATTGAATAATTAAAATGCCTTTATCGCGATATTTTCATAAAACAACAAAATGTATGCAATGAGGAGAAATTGTATGTAAAACCTACAATTTTTACGATATTAAAAATAATAATTTTTACAAAAGCGACAAAATAGTTGCATAAAAATTGTGCGAGAGAAAAAATTTTATTTCGATTATTTGTACATTTTGTTGAACATTTGTATTTATCATATGATTTATCATTACGTTATTGGTATTAAATTTATCGTTGACAATCTCAAGCAATATTTGCTATATCGTTTACTCAATAATATTTATTATAAATTCAATTATATAGGAATAATGATTATCAAATCAGGAGAGATTAATAATCGAGTATTCTAGATCTTATAAATCATGCGTATTTTATATCTTTCGTTAAAAATAAAAATTGTAACTTAAAATGTACGCAGTAATTTTCAGTAAATGGAGATTCGATTAAAAATATAAATATTACAATGAAGAAATTAATTAATTTTTGCACTACTTTTAAGTGAAATATCCAAAATAATCATTAATTTTCATTGTATTATAATATCCGTGTGGATGTTATCATTGTCGGCGACAATGCCTTAATGGCATTCAATTATCATGAACGAAAGAATCCATCAGAATGTAAGAGAAAATAATGAGAAATCGAATTAAGGGCGGAGAAAGTTAATGGAACTGTTACTTAAAATTCACGTCGTCAATAACCTTAACGGTATGTGTACATACGTACACAGATGCTTATAGAATTTAATCAGATGTTGCGCTGAATAAATTCCACCTTTTTGATATATAGAATACATAAAGCACATAAAAGGCTAAATTTTTGTTGCGAACACTTTTATATCTTTCACTTAATAGTGGTATGAATTTTAATGTTTTACTCATTTTGTTAATCGAATTTTGCTATCTCGAATCTTACCTAATTGCCAATATTATAATCTAAGATCTGTCGGCCATAATATTTGAGTAACTGAAATTTCTTATATAAACACACAGGCGAGCGCGCGAGCCCAATAACGTAGATTTGCATTATTATTATTATTATTATTAAGATTGCGATAATTGTAATTGTAAGATATTTGAATGAAGATATTTTGTGAAATCTTATTAGCATCAATGTCTTAAAGAGGAAAATTATTTTCTGTTATGGAATTTGGTATCTGAGACGACATTGTCTTTCACGAACATTACACTTTCTTCCTTTATACAGCGCAGTTGAATAAAATGTCACGTCGCTCTATCGAACAATAGAGCGATGATTAATAAATTCTAAATTCATAAATGAGATTACAATGACAATAATAGTAATTAATGCATGTGCATAAAGTAAATCATGCTTTTTCTACGGACAAAAGTCTCGCAATATAAATATTTATACTCGCGTAGTCGAGCAATTAATAATAATAATGTCATATTTTCATCACTAATGCCAAAAGTGATTCACGAAAACGCCAGTTATACGACCAGGAGTCTCTTGGCTTCTCTTCAATCAACTCCCACGTATCTAAAATCTTTCATCTTTGATATGAGATGATCGCGGACGTAGACAAATATACTCGCTTCAAAACCTATATAATCGATTTCACGATTGAAAGTGTTGGGAACGCGAGTAGTCGGCAGACAGTCCACTAACTTCCCGATGATAGACAGGGAGATAAAAATCTGGGCCTTTTGCCTCGTTCGCCCCCACCCCAACCACCATCAGCCCCCTCATACCACCCGTCTCATACCACACGGACCGTAGCGATTCGCGGAGCCTCGATAACGCAAGGGCGTGGAGAAAATTATTTGGGGAAGCGGCATCGTGCGGGACTTACTCGTTAACGCCGGCAGCATCGCTATCCAACATCATGCTCCAGGTCTGCTCCGTAATCATTATCCTCGAAGACGTCCCGCTCACATGTCTCGGGCGCTAATTACGCGTGCGCCCGTGGCGTCACTCCCCAGCGATTGCCGCTATTTTTGCTTCTTCCTGCCTGGCTGGCCCTCACTTTTCCAACTCACTCGTCGGCGTAGCTCCCCGACGATGACCCGTGGCTCCTCGAGCCGTCGTCCAACAGCAGGAGCTCGCGCCTAGCGTCCACAAAACATTTCCACCCTACCCTCCCCCCCCCCGTTCCCGTTATTCTTTGTTGGGGCCTGTTGCTGAAAAGGGCTATTTTTAACGGCCCCCGGTTTGGGACGAGGGAATGGGGAAGGGGGATGGGGGAGGGGGGAGGGGAGGGGGCAGACATGTAGCGCTTTTATAGGATGCAATGCCACTACCCCCTTCCCACGAGCATCGTGGCGTATATTTTAGCGATTTACTTGTTTTTTTCTTTTCTTTTTTTCTTTTTTTTTTCTTTTTTTTTTCTTTTTTTTTTCTTTTTTTTTTCTTTTTTTTTTCTTTTTTTTTTCTTTTTTTTCTTTTTTTTTCTTTTTTTTTTCTTTTCTTTTTTTCTTTTTTTTTTCTTTTTTTTTTTCTTTCATACATTCTCAGCTGATTGAGAAAACTTTATTGTGCTATTTGGGCACTCGAGCCGCAACATTAATGCCGATTACGATAATTTGTATTCCGACTCGAGCACGAAAAATGAAATTTTTTATATAATTTGCGACGGAAGGAGTAACAAACGACATTATTATGCGACGAGCTATCCGTTATTTACCAATTACCTTTTTATATACAATACAATATCTAAATTATCAAGTAGTATTAAAAAAATTCTGATGAAATTTTACACGCCAATAGGCAATCCATACAAAAAATAAACATGTTTGTTTATCGTCTTTTTAACGATGCCAGACCTTTTGGTATTGAAATTACCGAGAATTTACTCAATAATTTTGAGGCGACCGTCTACTTGAAGCATAGGCACGTTGCGTTGTAAAGGCATTTTTTCATGATTCGTCATTTTTATCGAAATAACACGTCTGTAATGCGCATCAAACGAAACTAATCACTAAGAACATATCCTATGACAATGAAATAAATACATTACAAGTATGTTCAAGCTAAATTGAGATTTAGTCTAAGCATGAGTTTAAAAAATGAATAATAATGATTGATTGACTTGTTATGACGGTTTAATTTTAAAGTAGATGATTAATATAATAAGATGACAAATCGACAAATTTCTAAATGATTTTACCCATTGAAATTCTAATTTTTCTACAAGCGTAAAAATGAAAATTACGCTTATTTTTTATTTTTTTTTTTTTTTTATAACAGAACGAAAAAGATCATTCAACGTTGCTCTATTTTATTTTTATTTATAACCACAATATAGATTTAAAGACTAGAATACTTTTATCAAATTGTTCGTTCTATTGACGAAAAATTTATTTTAAAATTAGCATAACTTTGCTCTCAATTCTCGTTAGCGCATTGGAATTTATAGCCTTACGTTTTTCAAATAACTTTTCAAATTTTGACCAACGTCTATTGTCTATCCATGATACTCCCCACTAAATTCAATATTCTAAACATTGAGTTTTATTAAATGATAGATGTGTTTGGATAATACTCCGTGAAACGTGTTTATTTATGCTTGTTCAAGTCATTTCAAACACATTGAAAATCCAAGCTCATAGTTATATGCCTCGCGTAACCCCTATTAAAAGATAAGATAAAAGTTGCATTAGAAAGTCAAATAATTTACCAAAAAATAAATGAAATATATATTTAATTTTTCAGATAAATACGATTATTATTCGTTACATTGTCATAAGACAAGTTAATTTAATGAGTGAACATTTCGATAAAATGTATCAAAATTAATCGAAGAAAGTTTAACAAACTAATGGAAATTAAAATATCTATCGGTCGATAATTATATAATTTTATATATATATATATATATATATATATATATATATATATATATATAAGCCAACATAGATAGATATTATACTCTCAGTTTGAAATGCTTCGTTAATTAACAGTACTTACACATTTCAGTCGGAAAAAGGCCAAAGATAAAGCCAACTACGAAAATCCCCACTTAGCGATTTTTTTTTTTTTTTTGTTTAAATTCCTTTCAACGTAACTATCATCTTTCAAATGTTTAAAAATGACTGAAAGTTTATGCGTACATTCGTAACCACGAACCTTGAGCATCCCACAGAAATACGTCCTCGAAAATATCGAGCAAAATCAACGAAAAAATAAGCATTTCCAAAAGTCGGTGGCATTGAAATATCAATTGGCTAGAAATCTGATAAATAGAAGTCAAATAAATATATTTGGCAGCTCGATGATGGTCGAGAATTTTATAAATTTTATCGCTAGGAAGTTAATGCTATTGAGATTTTTACGCACGCGAACGATATCCCCAATGAAGCTCCGCGCGTAAAAAAAAAAAAAGAAAAAAAAGAAAAAAAAAAAGATTTAAGAAACACGAGCAAACATGTCATTGCAAACGGACATAAGGTTTGGTGTTTACTAAAACATGACTCTTGATAGCTTTCTAATCGAGTCGCGCGATGTGGAAACGATTAAATTTACGCAGCGTGCATTGACAATTTAATGCGCGAGGGCGTTATAATCGACAGCATGTTTTAGCAAAAACGCAATGACAAATCGACGATTTCATCTTTGTTGACAATATCACTGACACTATAGTCGTCCCTCGTTCGAAATTTAAATATGAATAATAATAATAATAATAATAATAATAATAATAATAATAATAATAATAATAATGGAGGAAAGAAGGATGGAAGGAAAGCATGCAAATGACTTTCAAGCAACAATGTCATTTGCTATTATCAAGACAATTTATAATGTGTAAAATATGTATAATAGAAAAGTAAAGATCAATGAGATTATTTTTTTACTTTTCTATTATACACAATAGTAGGGCGATTCGTTAATATTATTACGTTGCGTTACCCTACAAATTTAACGTATAACAATTAAACACTTTTAAGGTGAAAGAATATCTTGAATTCTTAACTCGATTAACGTTATTATTGAATACCTGAGAAGATGTAATTACCCGCATATGAAATAATTCCATAAATGTTGAAACAGACAGCATTGGACGAAAACATAAAAATGCCATGATCCATGCTACGAGTTACTTCTTTGCGTTATTGTTTTGTATTATTGTTTGTCATTTACATAAAGTATTATATCGTAAGTATTTTTATGGAGCTTGGATGGTGCTGAAGGGAATTTGAAATGAATATAGACTGTATTATTAATAACATTTGCTTCGCAAAGGATTATAAGACTTATTTCCAGAATTGTTTGGCATGTCGGCAATTATTTATTTCGACGTAATTTATAAATAAAAAATGGAAAAGTGAGAGCTGACGGTGGGATTATTTATCGAAAATTCATTTCAGTCACGAACGGAGACCGTATAAATAAACATTATAATTTATATGTGTACGTATAAGAAGGCGCGACGTACTAAGAGTTAATTTTTCAAGTAAATTTCCAGCACACGCATGCCTGTACCTACGTACTTATGTATTTACGATATGCATTATAATAATATGCGTAAAGTCGAAAATATTATTGGCATTTCAAAGGCTTATAAGTAGTTTGAAAATTCATTGAAATTTCTTTGCGAAATAAATGTGAGACGACGATGTAAAGACCGTGAATTTGAAAGTAATCGTAATTTTTCTGTGTTGGCAAGGCAATTTTATCAATTGTATCTGTTCTTTTTTTCTTCTCTTTCTCTTTTTCGGTTTTTTCTTTTCTTTCTTTTTTTTTTTTTTTTTTTTTTTTTTAAGGTCTCGAGCACCTGGAAAAAGTCTCGAGCACCTGGAAAAATATGCGATTCAACTATCGTCGATAGGATAATTTGAAACGAACAGGTATAACGCGATTTGATAAGTTTGCCAGATTGTGCGTGGCTTTGAAAAAACGTGAATGAAAAATGTACATAAAGAGTCTCCTAAGCATAATAATGAGACGTCTTGTTATCCAACATAAATCAGTCGGATGACATTAGGCGGAAGGCGCGATCGAGAATCGCACGATTCTTATAAACTTGAAAATGAAAGAGAAAGAAGAAGAAGAAGAAGAAGAAGAAGAAGAAGAAGAAGAAGAAGAAGAAGAAGAAGAAGAAGAAGAAGAAGAAGAAGAAGAAGAAGAAGAAGAAGAAGAAGAAGAAGAAGAAGAAGAAGAAGAAGAAGAAGAAGAAGAAGAAGAAGAAGAAGAAGAAGAAGAAGAAGAAGAAGAAGAAGAAGAAGAAGAAGAAGAAGAAGAAGAAGAAGAAGAAGAAGAAGAAGAAGAAGAAGAAGAAGAAGAAGAAGAAGAAGAAGAAGAAGAAGAAGAAGAAGAAGAAGAAGAAGAAGAAGAAGAAGAAGAAGAAGAAGAAGAAGAAGAAGAAGAAGAAGAAGAAGAAGAAGAAGAAGAAGAAGAAGAAGAAGAAGAAGAAGAAGAAGAAGAAGAAGAAGAAGAAGAAGAAGAAGAAGAAGAAGAAGAAGAAGAAGAAGAAGAAGAAGAAGAAGAAGAAGAAGAAGAAGAAGAAGAAGAAGAAGAAGAAGAAGAAGAAGAAGAAGAAGAAGAAGAAGAAGAAGAAGAAGAAGAAGAAGAAGAAGAAGAAGAAGAAGAAGAAGAAGAAGAAGAAGAAGAAGAAGAAGAAGAAGAAGAAGAAGAAGAAGAAGAAGAAGAAGAAGAAGAAGAAGAAGAAGAAGAAGAAGAAGAAGAAGAAGAAGAAGAAGAAGAAGAAGAAGAAGAAGAAGAAGAAGAAGAAGAAGAAGAAGAAGAAGAAGAAGAAGAAGAAGAAGAAGAAGAAGAAGAAGAAGAAGAAGAAGAAGAAGAAGATGATGATGATGATGATGATGATGATGATGATGATGATGATGGAGGAGGAGCAAGAGGAGGGGGAGGAGAAGGCTGATGATTAACGAAAGAGTACGGTACGAAGGTCGGGAAGTTCGAGAATGTGTGTGAGGACCGAGCGATTGAAAATAATTTCAAGTGACTCGAGTGTCGATTGTTGGGCTGCCGAAAGGGTCAAAGGTCGCTAAACAAAGTGCCAGTGAATTAATTAAATCGAGTGTCTGAATTACCACTGCTGCTCGGGCCGAGCATCTCGCGACAACAGCACATATCCCGCAATCAGTCACGAAGCATCGGACACCGCAGGGCAACACGTAGCCGCGCACACTCGCCACGTCCAGGAAGCCACTCGCGTTAGGACACGCGCCCGGGCGCACAGTGGCGGCAAACTTGGAAGTTGGCGCGCGCGCGCCTCCTCTCCTGATCGCCGCCGCCTCCACCACCACCGCCGCCACCACCGCCGCTACCACCACCACCGCCGCCGCCGCTGCCATCGCCGCTATTGTAAATAGTTTGAGACCTGCGCCTGCGCTTGCATCCTACGTCCATGTGACTCTCAAGCCACTCCTGCAATTGCAGCTGCGCACTTGGTCGCCGTGACGAGGATGAGTGCGGAGCTCGAGTTGCGAGTCCAGCGGTTATTGTGGCCGAAATAGCGAAGGAGCCGAGGTCCTTCCACGACTATCGCGCCCCTTCGGAAAAGCAGTCGATTTCCAGGGAACGTTATTCATTTGGCTTTCTATCGCAGCCTCCAACCTTTATTTTTTTCCATAATTTTTTTCAGCGATTTTATAAAGCCGTGAGAGCCAAAGAGGCAGAGAGTTGAGTAGAATAAAATTTTCAGCTTAATTGCAAACTTTGCAACTTGTCGAGTCTGTTGGCCCACTGCTATGAAGCAGTTTCCTAACAAATAATAATCTTCGCTTGGAATATCCTGCACAATCCATAAGTAAAATGCAATTGTATTTTATATCTATACTTACTCAATAATAAATAGGCAATAGGTGATAAAGTTTTTTCATACAATGAACTCGGCGACAATCTGAGAAATACGATCCAATGTTGTATACACGATTAAACTCAATATGAGATTTCGACCGTGAAATTTTTATACTTTCAGAGAGTACCAATTTGCGCTCACTGAAATTATCTGACAAAATCATTCGATCCAACATATATAGAATATAATTTTATTCTACCTACAAATATAATCCCAACGAACTCCTTTTCCACTATCAATCTCATTTGTTTATTATACATTTACAGAAATTATTAGCCAAAGGTCTTTGCGAGTACTTGATTCAGATGAAAAATTTCCCCTTCGTCTTTCAACCTAGAAACTGGAAAGTTGCGAAAAGTTGCGAAAAGTTGCGAGAAGTTGCGAATATCAATGAAATCGACCTCGACATCCACATCAATCGGGATGATTTTTTTATAACTTTTTCCCATGACTAATAGACATTTAGAACCTTCATAAATTCTGCCTTTAAAACTTGCTTCAATATGATTATTTATTTCGATTAAGCGAGAAGGCTCGTTTTGAAATTTCATAGAACCTATCAATCCGCGATATAATTAAAACTTACGAATTATGGTTTTGTATTTGTGAAAACGAATCAGTGTTATACTTATCATCGTAAGCCTATTACTCCAGATGTGTGTTTCATTAATTCGCAAGAGAAAAATCCTGTTTGTCGAGTATTGATTAAAAAACAATTAACAATTCGATCGATAAACTTGACAATTTTGAAAAATATAAAATAATCTTTTAGTATCTTTTAGTACCTGTGATTTACACTTCCAAACCTATAGCATAATAACATTTAACAAAACTAACTAAAAATTACATAAAATTGATTAACGATGTGATTATTATAGTAGTATTTTTCTATCAATTCTATCGGATTAAAAAAGATAATTTTGTTAAAAAAAAAAAAAAAAAAAAAAAAAAAAAAAAAAAAAAAAAAAAAAAAACCGAAAAAATATCAAAAGTAAGAGTTAAAGCAGCGAACGTTTGCTTAATGTTAAATAAATTACATCAACAATGTGTATTACATCGTTTGGATCGGATACAAGCAAAGCAAAGTGGGTCATATAGTAAATTCTCTCTAAGGGCTCGCGAATCCAATTTGCGAGTGGTAATTAAACAAATTGGACACAACTTTTAAAATACACATGTATTAAATAGACGATATTTTCAAATAATGAAAATTTTTGTTAAAAACCACGATCATTAATTTTATTAGAAAAACAGCATTCAAGATAAGCATGGAAAAATTATGGTAAATAGTAAGAAAGTATTACGCTATGTATGTCAATAATATTCCTAGTATTCGATTCTGTTTATTGTAAGATTTTTTTAATATGGATGGAAGGAGAGGAATTAAATCTAGTTATCTTCTACATTATGAATTTGCGCAAATAATCGTTCGACTCGCTACGAAAGTCAGCAATCATTTATAAATCACTAGACACTCGTTAATAAAACAAAACAAAAACAAACAAAAAACAAAAAACAAAAAATAATTCTAGAAAAATTAATTATTCTTACGTACTTCAAAGGTAATTAATTATATAATAATGTTGAAATTTATAGCTACAGCACATTTATTTCAGACAACAAATTTGCTATTTTTGCTAAGGTAATACAAATAAAATTACAATATATTGTAATACTTTTGTTTTATTTTGTATTTATCTTGTATTTGATAGAATTTATGGAGCTACGATAAATAGTATTCAAAGCTGTGAAATTGGAGTCGTTTAGATATACTTTTTTCATTTCTTATTTAGCAGGGATAGAACGTAAATTTCCTTTCACCAGTGATTATTATTTACGGGATAAAAATATTGGATTATCATATACATTACATTTTTAAAATTTGGCCTACATTATAGATAGAAATTCTATTTTTGCCTTCATAAAATAAGATTTGAACTTGCTCGATTATTATTATACTTAACTATATCACAGTACAATTCAAAACTACATAACATTACGTAAATGTATAATCTAATTAAATCGAAACTAATTTAGTTATATTCAGTTAAATAAACGATAATCTTTATCGAGTTCCAGATTTCAAACTGCTTTTCTAAAATTTACGAATTCATTTGAAGCTTAACAACTTTACGTTATATTTTATATTTTTCAATTTAATGATTAAAATTAATTATTTAAAAAATTTTTTTTTATTTTAAAAATTATCTTTCATACGTGAAAATGATAAAAGTAACTTTATTATTAAAAGTATGTATGTATGTATATATATATATATATATATATATATATATATATATATATATATATATATATTGATAAAAGCATAATTAGTGATGCCAATGATCAGTCGCAATTATTATCTTACTCAATTCATTATTTATAAAACAGCTTTATTTTTTAAATAAACATTTAAGTTTTATCTTCTAATAATTTATTAATAATTTAATATTTTACTATTATTGAAATTTTCTTTTTTTTTTTTTTTCTTTTTTTTTTTTTTTTTTTTTTTTTTTTTTTAACAAAATTATCTTTTTTAATCCGATAGAATTGATAGAAAAATACTACTATATTTACACTAATATGGGAAATGTGTTTTTTTTTCTTTCATTATTTTACACATGAACTGCTTTATGTAATTCAAGTTTTTCGTTATAAAAAAAAAAATATATTATAAGAAACTTCCAAGGCGAGGAAATAATATCTTCAAAATAAGGTAAAGAAACTGAAATTTTAATTATTATTACAAATAAATATTTATGTTTAAATTTCACTGTAATCGAGTCCACTGTAATTTAATAAATTCAAACAACACAATCATTGAAATTTTTTAAAAGGAAATTATTTTTTTAATAAAATACTCATCCTCTTGCCTAAAATATATGTAAAAAATACATTATAAATCGTTGTATTATCTACACTGAGTGGTAAAGTAAAATTTGTATCTTCTAATTAATTTTAATTAATTTATGGTAATCATTGGATTATTATAGTAAAATAAAGTAATGATAAATTACATATTTCTTATTTACATTGAATAAAATAAAATTATAAATATAATATGTGAAATATTGTCAATATGCCTTCTACATAATCTTTATTTGTATTATTAATTTATATTATATCATGAAAATAAAAATGTTTAAAAAGATTAGGTTGTGTATCTTAACATATATATCTCATGGTATTTATATTATGTAAAATACTAGCTTATCTAGCTTTTACATTTAACTTTTTTTATTTATCAAAATACCGTCGTCTTACACATACTGGCAGAAATTTAGTTCTTACGCCTAAACTATCGAGTTTTCAAGCAACGTATATTCCAATAGACTAGTTAATGCATTTGAACTTGATTATAAGATCTTGATGATAAAGTCTTAGCAAAACTATGAACATGAACAATTTAGAAAGCTCAATGACAATACGACCTGATTGCTTATATTACGTATCATCAGCAACTAAAATCGTTCGCATTATTGTGATCTAAATTTGCATTCTGTAATGATTCACCACTCACATATCTTTGCAGCCTTGCAATCATCGTCTTCTTTTCCTTTTGCGATAGCTGCAATTGCATTAACTCCACGAATATAAGGACAGAAAGTTCTCAAATACTTGCTATTCGTACGTGAACAGAATGTAAAAAACAGTTTTGCAAATCTTGGAGAGAGTCAGCAATTATTACGAGATCATATAATGCATCCAAAGCTGAAACTCACACATTGCAAGGTTTATGTTTTATATGTGTATAAGGTACAATGTTTGTGCATTGTAATCTTTATAAAACAGACTTCACTGTGAAAGAATGTGCTTTCGTATTTATTCATCGGGATGCATTCCATAAATTTGCGCGTATTATAAAACTTACGAAATATTTCATCACAAGTTTTAAATAAATTCATATACTTTATGAAGATACTTTATAAACTTGGTAAATAATGTAAAATTGAAAGGTCAAAAAGCTTAAGGAAAGCTTAACTTTCAAAGCTTCAAATTATCTATCAACGGTTATATAGATATTTCAATGATCATTGTTTTCTCATTAACCAATAGCAATAAATTTTATTTGCACAATACGGAATCCACATAATTGTGGAGTATATTCTAATTGTGTTAATACAAAATCAATTCAATTCGAGAAAATAAATATTTTTTGCCAATGGAGTCGTATGATTTTATATCACAACAATTACAAAAGCAGCTACTGATTTATGCATTTTTCCATTGCGAACGTTTTTAAAGTGGTCGAGCAAGTTGCTCAATGGAATTTTCAAGAATGTTTTGACGAATAACTTTCTGAATCTATTTAAAAATAGGCATGAAATAATTTTAATTATCTATGGTTCGTGAAAATACATTTTTCTCTATAATCCGATCATTCAATTA